CTCTGTGAGTCTCTACACCCTGAGTCTCTGTGAGTCTCTGTGAGTCTCTGTGAGTCTCTACACCCTGAGTCTCTACACCCTGAGACTCTGTGAGTCTCTACACCCCGAGTCTCTGTGAGTCTCTGTGAGTCTCTGTGAGTCTCCCTGAGTCTCTGTGAGTCTCTGTGAGTCTCCCTGAGTCTCCCTGAGTCTCTGTGAGTCTCTGTGAGTCTCTACACCCTGAGTCTCTCTGAGTCACTGTGAGTCTCTGCGAGTCTCTGTGAGTCTCTGTGAGTCTCTGTGAGTCTCTACACCCTGAGTCTCTGTGAGTCTCTGTGAGTCTCTGTGAGTCTCTACACCCTGAGTCTCTACACCCTGAGACTCTGTGAGTCTCTACACCCCGAGTCTCTGTGAGTCTCTGTGAGTCTCTGTGAGTCTCCCTGAGTCTCTGTGAGTCTCTGTGAGTCTCCCTGAGTCTCCCTGAGTCTCTGTGAGTCTCTGTGAGTCTCTACACCCTGAGTCTCTCTGAGTCACTGTGAGTCTCTGCGAGTCTCTGTGAGTCTCTGTGAGTCTCTGTGAGTCTCTACACCCTGAGTCTCTGTGAGTCTCTACACCCTGAGTCTCTGTGAGTCTCTGTGAGTCTCTGTGAGTCTCTACACCCTGAGTCTCTGTGAGTCTCTGTGAGTCTCTGTGAGTCTCTGTGAGTCTCTACACCCTGAGTCTCTGTGAGTCTCTGTGAGTCTCTGTGAGTCTCTACACCCTGAGTCTCTGTTAGTCTCTCTGAGTCTCTACACCCTGAATCTCTGTGAGTCTCTGTGAGTCTCTGTGAGTCTCTACACCCTGAGTCTCTGTGAGTCTCTGTGAGTCTCTTTGAGTCTCTACACCCTGAGTCTCTGTGAGTCTCTGTGAGTCTCTGTGAGTCTCTACACCCTGAGTCTCTGTGAGTCTCTGTGAGTCTCTACACCCTGAGTCTCTGTGAGTCTCTGTGAGTCTCTGCGAGTCTCTGTGAGTCTCTGTGAGTCTCTACACCCTGAGTCTCTGTGAGTCTCTGTGAGTCTCTACACCCTGAGTCTCGCTGAGTCTCTGTGAGTCTCTGTGAGTCTCTACACCCTGAGTCTCTGTGAGTCTCTGTGAGTCTCTACACCCTGAGTCTCTAAACCCTGAGTCTCTGTGAGTCTCTGTGAATCTCTGTGAGTCTCTGTGAGTCTCTACACCCCGAGTCTCTGTGAGTCTCTGTGAGTCTGTGTGAGTCTCAGTGAGTCTCCCTGAGTCTCTGTGAGTCTCTGTGAGTCTCTGTGAGTCTCTACACCCTGAGTCTCTGTGAGTCTCTGTGAGTCTCTGCGAGTCTCTGTGAGTCTCTGTGAGTCTCTACACACTGAGTCTCTGTGAGTCTCTGTGAGTCTCTGTGAGTCTCTACACCCTGAGTCTCTGTGAGTCTCTGTGAGTCTCTGTGAGTCTCTACACCCTGAGTCTCTGTGAGTCTCTGTGAGTCTCTGTGAGTCTCTGCGAGTCTCTGTGAGTCTCTGTGAGTCTCTACACACTGAGTCTCTGTGAGTCTCTGTGAGTCTCTGTGAGTCTCTACACCCTGAGTCTCTGTGAGTCTCTGTGAGTCTCTGTGAGTCTCTACACCCTGAGTCTCTGTGAGTCTCTGTGAGTCTCTGTGAGTCTTTACACCCCGAGTTTCTACACCCTGAGTATCTGTGAGTCTCTGTGAGTCTCTAGACCCTGAGTCTCTGTGAGTCTCCCTGAGTCTCTGTGAGTCTCTGTGAGTCTCTGTGAGTCTCTACACCCTGAGTCTCTGTGAGTCTCTGTGAGTCTCTGTGAGTCTCTACACCCTGAGTCTCTGTGAGTCTCTGTGAGTCTCTGTAATTCTCTGTGAGTCTCCCTGAGTCTCCCTGAGTCTCTGTGAGTCTCTGTGAGTCTCTGTGAGTCTCTACACCCTGAGTCTCTGTGAGTCTCTGTGAGTCTCTACACCCTGAGTCTCTGTGAGTCTCTGTGAGTCTCTACACCCTGAGTCTTTGTGAGTCTCTGTGAGTCTCTGTGAGTCTCTGTGAGTCTCTGCGAGTCTCTGTGAGTCTCTACACCCTGAGTCTTTGTGAGACTCTGTGAGTCTCTGTGAGTCTCTGTGAGTCTCCCTGAGTCTCCCTGAGTCTCTGTGAGTCTCTGTGAGTCTCCCTGAGTCTCCCTGAGTCTCTGTGAGTCTCTGTGAGTCTCTGTGAGTCTCTGTGAGTCTCCCACTCACCTGTTTCCTCTCCATCGCCTGCTTCTCCTTGAACCCAGCCAGCTGCTTCTCCTGCTCGCCCTGAGTCTCTGTGAGTCTCTGTGAGTCTCTGTGAGTCTCTGTGAGTCTCTACACCCTGAGTCTCTGTGAGTCTCTGTGAGTCTCTACACCCTGAGTCTCCGTGAGTCTCTGTGAGTCTCCCTGAGTCTCTGTGAGTCTCTGTGAGTCTCTACACCCTGAGTCTCCCTGAGTCTCTGTGAGTCTCTACACCCTGAGTCTCCGTGAGTCTCTGTGAGTCTCCCTGAGTCTCTGTGAGTCTCTGTGAGTCTCTACACCCTGAGTCTCCGTGAGTCTCTGTGAGTCTCTGTGAGTCTCTGTGAGTCTCTACACCCTGAGTCTCCCTGAGTCTCCCTGAGTCTCGCTGAGTCTCTGTGAGTCTCTGTGAGTCTCTGTGAGTCTCTGTGAGTCTCTACACCCTGAGTCTCTACACCCTGAGTCTCTGTGAGACTCTGTGAGTCTCTACACCCTGAGTCTCCGTGAGTCTCCCTGAGTCTCGCTTAGTCTCTGTGAGTCTCTGTGAGTCTCTGTGAGTCCCCCACTCACCTGTTTCCTCTCCATCGCCTGCTTCTCCTTGAACCCAGCCAGCTGCTTCTCCTGCTCGTCCTGAGTCTCTGTGAGTCTCTGTGAGTCTCTGTGAGTCTCTGTGAGTCTCCCTGAGTCTCTGTGAGTCTCTGTGAGTCTCTGTGAGTCTCGCTGAGTCTCTGTGAGTCTCTGTGAGTCTCTGTGAGTCTCCCACTCACCTGTTTCCTCTCCATCGCCTGCTTCTCCTTGAACCCAGCCAGCTGCTTCTCCTGCTCGCCCTGAGTCTCTGTGAGTCTCTGTGAGTCTCTACACCCTGAGTCTCTGTGAGTCTCTGTGAGTCTCTGTGAGTCTCTGTGAGTCTCTACACCCTGAGTCTCTGTGAGTGTCTGTGAGTCTCCCTGAGTCTCTGTGAGTCACTGTGAGTCTCTGTGAGTCTCTGCGAGTCTCTGTGAGTCTCTGTGAGTCTCTGTGAGTCTCTGTGAGTCTCTACACCCTGAGTCTCTGTGAGTCTCTGTGAGTCTCTACACCCTGAGTCTCCGTGAGTCTCTGTGAGTCTCCCTGAGTCTCTGTGAGTCTCTGTGAGTCTCTACACCCTGAGTCTCCCTGAGTCTCTGTGAGTCTCTACACCCTGAGTCTCCGTGAGTCTCTGTGAGTCTCCCTGAGTCTCTGTGAGTCTCTGTGAGTCTCTACACCCTGAGTCTCCGTGAGTCTCTGTGAGTCTCTGTGAGTCTCTGTGAGTCTCTACACCCTGAGTCTCCCTGAGTCTCCCTGAGTCTCGCTGAGTCTCTGTGAGTCTCTGTGAGTCTCTGTGAGTCTCTACACCCTGAGTCTCTACACCCTGAGTCTCTGTGAGACTCTGTGAGTCTCTACACCCTGAGTCTCCGTGAGTCTCCCTGAGTCTCGCTGAGTCTCTGTGAGTCTCTGTGAGTCTCTGTGAGTCTCTGTGAGTCTCCCACTCACCTGTTTCCTCTCCATCGCCTGCTTCTCCTTGAACCCAGCCAGCTGCTTCTCCTGCTCGCCCTGAGTCTCTGTGAGTCTCTGTGAGTCTCTGTGAGTCTCCCTGAGTCTCTGTGAGTCTCTGTGAGTCTCTGTGAGTCTCCCTGAGTCTCCCTGAGTCTCTGTGAGTGTCTGTGAGTCTCTGTGAGTCTCTGTGAGTCTCTGTGAGTCTCTGTGAGTCTCCCTGAGTCTCCCTGAGTCTCTGTGAGTGTCTGTGAGTCTCTGTGAGTCTCTGTGAGTCTCTGTGAGTCTCTGTGAGTCTCTGTGAGTCTCCCTGAGTCTCCCTGAGTCTCTGTGAGTCTCTGTGAGTCTCTGTGAGTCTCTGTGAGTCTCTGTGAGTCTCTGTGAGTCTCTGTGAGTCTCTGTGAGTCTCCCACTCACCTGTTTCCTCTCCATCGCCTGCTTCTCCTTGAACCCAGCCAGCTGCTTCTCCTGCTCGTCCTGAGTCTCTGTGAGTCTCTGTGAGTCTCTGTGAGTCTCTGTGAGTCTCCCTGAGTCTCTGTGAGTCTCTGTGAGTCTCTGTGAGTCTCGCTGAGTCTCTGTGAGTCTCTGTGAGTCTCTGTGAGTCTCCCTCTCACCTGTTTCCTCTCCATCGCCTGCTTCTCCTTGAACCCAGCCAGCTGCTTCTCCTGCTCGCCCTGAGTCTCTGTGAGTCTCTGTGAGTCTCTGTGAGTCTCTACACCCTGAGTCTCTGTGAGTCTCTGTGAGTCTCTGTGAGTCTCTACACCCTGAGTCTCTGTGAGTGTCTGTGAGTTTCCCTGAGTCTCTGTGAGTCTCCCTGAGTCTCTGTGAGTCTCTGTGAGTCTCTGTGAGTCTCTGTGAGTGTCTGTGAGTCTCTGTGAGTCTCTGTGAGTCTCTGTGAGTGTCTGTGAGTCTCTGTGAGTCTCTGTGAGTCTCTGTGAGTCTCCCTGAGTCTCTGTGAGTCTCTGTGAGTCTCTGTGAGTCTCTGTGAGTCTCTGTGAGTCTCCCTCTCACCTGTTTCCTCTCCATCGCCTGCTTCTCCTTGAACCCAGCCAGCTGCTTCTCCTGCTCGCCCTGAGTCTCTGTGAGTCTCTGTGAGTCTCTGTGAGTGTCTGTGAGTCTCTGTGAGTCTCTGTGAGTCTCTGTGAGTGTCTGTGAGTCTCTGTGAGTCTCTGTGAGTCTCTGTGAGTCTCCCTGAGTCTCTGTGAGTCTCTGTGAGTCTCCCTGAGTCTCTGTGAGTCTCTGTGAGTCTCCCACTCACTTGCTTCCTCTCCATCGCCTGCTTCTCCTTGAACCCAGCCAGCTGCTTCTCCTGCTCGCCCGCCTGCCGCTTGGACTCCACCACGAGGCAGCTGGCTCCGTCCCGCTCCGCTCGCTCCGTCTTCTGCTTCCAGGTGCGCTCCAGCGTCTCCAACTCGGCCTCGTACTGCTTCTTCTTCGCCTGGGATCACGGTGGTGGTGGTGGCGATGGTGGTGGTGATGGTGGTGGTGGGGGTGATGGTGGTGGTGGTGGTTATGGTGATGGTGGTGGTGGTGGTCGTGGTCGTGGTGGTGGTGGTGGTGGTGATGGTGGTGGTGGAGAGAGATGGTGATAAGGGAAAGAAATTTAAATTGAAAGACTCACCACTCACTCACCCACTCACTCGCTGACTCACCCACTCACCCCCACACCCACTCACTCACCCCCACACCGAATCACTCACCCACTCATACACTCACCCACTCACCCTCCCACTCACCCACCCACTCACCCACTCACCCACCCACCCACCCACTCACCCACTCACCCACCCACCCACACACCCACCCACCCACTCACCCACCCACTCACCCACTCACCCCCCACACCCACCCACCCACCCACCCCCACACCCCCACACTCACTCACCCACTCACCCACCCACCCACTCACCCACCCACCCACCCACTCACCCACTCACCCACCCACTCACCCACCCACCCACTCACTCACCCACCCACCCACTCACCCACCCACCCACTCACCCACCCACCCACTCACCCACCCACCCACTCACCCACCCACTCACTCACCCACCCACCCACCCACTCACTCACCCACCCACCCCCACACCCACCCACCCACTCACCCACCCACCCACCCACTCACCCCCACACTCACCCACCCACTCACCCACCCACCCACCCACCCACTCACCCCCACACTCACCCACCCACTCACCCACCCACACACTCACTCACCCACCCACCCACTCACCCACCCACCCACCCACTCACCCACCCACCCACCCACTCACCCACCCACCCCCACACCCACTCACCCACCCACCCACCCACTCACCACCATCTCCCCTTCGCTCTTCCTCTGAGTGGTCTCTTGCTGAGCCAAGTGACGAGCCAAGAGTTTCCCCAGCTCTCGCTTCTCCTCCTTCTGCAGCCGCTGAAGCTCGCGCATCTCCTGCTGCCTGTGGGCACGCGCACACAGCTACAGGTGCAGCAGCCCCAGGTAGCTCGGCGTGGGTGGTGGTGGTGGTGGTAGGGGAGTGGGGGGAGGGGAGGGAGTGCACCAGCTGTGATGGCTATCCATAGCGGACACTTACACGCGCACTCGCTCACCCACCCATCGGCTCACCCACCCACCCACCAACTCACCCACCCACCAACTCACCCACCAACCCACCCACCTCACGACCTTCATCTGTCGCCCGGTCTGCTCCTCCTCCACCAGGGTGACGGTGGTGACGCTCTTCACCTGCCCACCAACTCACCCACCCACCCACCCACTCACCAACCCACCCACTCACCTACCCACCAACCCACCAACCCACCCACCCACCCACTCACCCACCCACCCACTCACCCACCCACCCACCCACCAACCCACCCACCTCACGACCTTCATCTGTCGCCCGGTCTGCTCCTCCTCCACCAGGGTGACGGTGGTGACGCTCTTCACCTGCCCACCAACTCACCCACCCACCCACCCACCAACCCACCCACTCACCTACCCACCAACCCACCCACCCAACAACCCACCCACCTCACGACCTTCATCTGTCGCCCGGTCTGCTCCTCCTCCACCAGCGTCATGGTGGTGACGCTCTTCACCTACCCACCAACCCACCCACCAACCCACCCACCCACCAACCCACCCACCAACCCACCAACCCACCCACCAACCCACCAACCCACCCACCAACCCACCAACCCACCCACCAACCCACCAACCCACCCACCCACCAACCCACCCACCCACCAACCCACCAACCCACCCACCCACCCACTCACCCACCCACCCACTCACCCACCCACTCACCCACCCACCCACCAACCCACCCACCTCACGACCTTCATCTGTCGCCCGCTCTGCTCCTCCTCCACCAGCGTCACGGTGGTGACGCTCTTCTCCTGCCCACCAACTCACCCACCCACCAACCCACCCACCAACCCACCCACTCACCTACCCAACAACCCACCCACCAACCCACCCACCCACCCACCAACCCACCCACCTCACGACCTTCATCTGTCGCCCGCTCTGCTCCTCCTCCACCAGCGTCACGGTGGTGACGCTCTTCTCCTGCCCACCAACCCACCCACCAACCCACCCACCCACCCACTCACCCACCCACCCACCCACCCACTCACCCACCCACCCACCCATCCACCCACCCACCCACCCACCCACTCACCCACCCACTCACCCACCCACTCACTCACCCACCCACCCACCCACTCACCCACCCACCCACCAACCCACCCACCAACCCACCCACCAACCCACCCACCAACCCAACCACCAACCCACCAACCCACCCACCAACCCACCCACCTCACGACCTTCATCTGTCGCCCGTTCTGCTCCTCCTCCACCAGCGTCACGGTGGTGACGCTCTTTACCTACCCACCAACCCACCCACCCACCAACCCACCCACCCACCCACACACCCACCCACCCACTCACCCACCCACCCACCCACTCACCCACCCACCCACCCACTCACCCACCCACCCACCCACCCACCCACTCACCCACCCACCCACCCACTCACCCACCCACCCACCCACTCACCCACCCACCCACCCACTCACCCACCCACCCACCCACTCACCCACCCACCCACCAAACCACCCACCAACCCACCCACCAACCCACCCACCAACCCACCCACCAACCCACCCACCAACCCACCCACCCACCAATCCACCCACCTCACGACCTTCATCTGTCGCCCGGTCTGCTCCTCCTCCACCAGCGTCACGGTGGTGACGCTCTTCACCTGCCCACCAACCCACCCACCCACCAACCCACCCACCCAACCACCCACCCACCCACCTCACGACCTTCATCTGTCGCCCGGTGTGCTCCTCCTCCACCAGTGTCACGGTGGTGACGCTCTTCACCTACCCACCAACCCACCCACCCACCCACCAACCCACCCACCAACCCACCCACTCACCTACCCAACAACCCACCCACCAACCCACCCACCCACCCACCAACCCACCCACCTCACGACCTTCATCTGTCGCCCGCTCTGCTCCTCCTCCACCAGCGTCACGGTGGTGACGCTCTTCTCCTGCCCACCAACCCACCCACCAACCCACCCACCCACCCACTCACCCACCCACCCACCCACCCACTCACCCACCCACCCACCCATCCACTCACCCACCCACCCACCCACCCACTCACCCACCCACCCACCCACTCACCCACCCACCCACCCACTCACCCACCCACCCACCAAACCCCCCACCAACCCACCCACCAACCCACCCACCAACCCAACCACCAACCCACCAACCCACCCACCAACCCACCCACCTCACGACCTTCATCTGTCGCCCGTTCTGCTCCTCCTCCACCAGCGTCACGGTGGTGACGCTCTTTACCTACCCACCAACCCACCCACCCACCAACCCACCCACCCACCCACTCACCCACCCACCCACTCACCCACCCACCCACCCACTCACCCACCCACCCACCAACCCACTCACCCACCCACCCACCCACTCACCCACCCACCCACCCACTCACCCACCCACCCACCCACTCACCCACCCACCCACCCACTCACCCACCCACCCACCCACTCACCCACCCACCCACCAAACCACCCACCAACCCACCCACCAACCCACCCACCAACCCACCCACCAACCCACCCACCAACCCACCCACCCACCCACCAATCCACCCACCTCACGACCTTCATCTGTCGCCCGGTCTGCTCCTCCTCCACCAGCGTCACGGTGGTGACGCTCTTCACCTGCCCACCAACCCACCCACCCACCAACCCACCCACCCAACCACCCACCCACCCACCTCACGACCTTCATCTGTCGCCCGGTGTGCTCCTCCTCCACCAGTGTCACGGTGGTGACGCTCTTCACCTACCCACCAACCCACCCACCCACCCACCAACCCACCCACCAACCCACCCACTCACCTACCCACCAACCCACCCACCAACCCACCCACTCACCCGACCCACCCACCCACCAACCCACCCACCTCACGACCTTCATCTGTCGCCCGCTCTGCTCCTCCTCCACCAGTGTCACGGTGGTGACGCTCTTCTCCTACCCACCAACCCACCCACCCACCAACCCACCCACCCACCAACCCACCCACCCACCAACCCACCCACCCACCAACCCACCCACCAACCCACCCACCAACCCACCCACCCACCCACCAACCCACTCACCCACCAACCCACTCACCCACCAACCCACCAACCCACCCACCCACCCACTCACCCACCCACCCACCCACCAACCCACCCACCTCACGACCTTCATCTGTCGCCCGTTCTGCTCCTCCTCCACCAGTGTCACGGTGGTGACGCTCTTCTCCTGCCCACCAACTCACCCACCCACCCACCCACCCACTCACCCACCCACCCACTCACCCACCCACCCACCAACCCACCCACCTCACGACCTTCATCTGTCGCCCGGTCTGCTCCTCCTCCACCAGTGTCACGGTGGTGACGCTCTTCTCCTGCCCACCAACTCACCCACCCACCCACCAACCCACCCACCAACCCACCCACTCACCTACCCACCAACCCACCCACCAACCCACCCACCCACCCACCAACCCACCCACCAACCCACCCACCTCACGACCTTCATCTGTCGCCCGTTCTGCTCCTCCTCCACCAGTGTCACGGTGGTGACGCTCTTCTCCTGCCCGTCCACCACGTAACGCCGCGTCCGCTTCATCGTCTGCTTCTGGCCCTTGGTGGCCTGCGGGAGAGACAAAGGCGGTCGCCACGGGGGGAGGGGGAGACATCGCTCCAGCATCATCACCATCATCATCACTACCATCATCATCATCACCACCACCATCATCATCATCATCACTACCATCACCACCATCACCACCACCACCACCGTTATCATCACCACCGTCACCACCATCATCACCAACATCACCACTACCATCATCATCACCATCACCACCACCACCATCATCATCATCACTACCATCACCACCATCATTATCACCAGAGCTCAACCACCCCAACTTTATCCACCCACTAACCCACCCACCCACTAACCCACCCACCGACCCACCCACTCATCGACCCACCCACTCACCCAACCACTAACCTACTCACCGACCCACCCACCACCCACTCACTGACCCACCCACCCACCCACCTCGCGGCCACTTCAACCAGCCTCCTCCCTCATGTTTCCGCTGGTTTGCCTTCGCACCCGACCCCAGCGCCGCATGGCCCACAGCTCCTCCCACCTCCTCATCATCACCGAACCGGACTGAACCGGAACCGGAACCCGGAACCGATACCGGAACCGATACCGGAACCGGAACCGATACCGGAACCGATACCGGAACCGATACCGGAACCGGAACCGGAACCGGAGCCGATACCGGAACCGGAACCGATACCGGAACCTATACCGGAACCGATACCGGAACCTATACCGGAACCGATACCGGAACCGATACCGGAACCGGAACCGATACCGGAACTGATACCGGAACCGGAACCGATACCGGAACCGATACCGGAACAGATACCGGAACCGGAACCGATACCGGAACCGGTACCGGAACCGGAACCGATACCGGAACCGATACCGGAACCGATACCGGAACCGATACCGGAACCGGAACAGATACCGGAACCGATACCGGAACCGGAACCGGAACCGATACCGGAACCGATACCGGAACCGATACCGGAACCGGAACCGATACCGGAACCGGACCCGATACCGGAACCGGAACCGATACCGGAACCGATACCGGAACCGATACCGGAACCGGAACCGATACCGGAACCGGAACCGATACCGGAACCGGAACCGATACCGGAACCGATACCGGAACCGATACCCCCGCACAACAACCCCCATCAACCAACCCACCGGTCCGGCCTTCGCCGAGGGCGGCGCCGCTCCACCGTCGGGCCGGTCCACCGCCACCGCCGCCCCGCCGCCGGCCGGCGGGCCGCCCTCCCTGGGAGCCGCCGAGCTGCTGCGGCCCAGGCTCAGGCTGCGGGCGCCGGTGGTGGCGGAGGAGGTGGAGGAGGCGGAGGAGGAGGCGGAGGAGGAGGAGGAGGAGGAGGAGTCCGGCCGGGCGAGGTAGTCGGGCTTCAGCTGACGGGGGAGGCTCGCCGAGGACTTGGCGGCCCCTGGCGCCGTGGACGAAGACCGCCTCGAGATGTCGTCCAGGCGCGTCGGTCGGCGGGGGCAGCCCTGGGGAGGGCATGGGGAGGAGGCCCTCGGGCGGCTCCACACGGCCCCGCCGCTGGGTCTGTGGGCGCGCAACGGGGGCGGGGAGGATTGGTTGGGGTGTGTGGGGGAGGCGGTGGGTGGGTGGGTGAGTGGGTGGGGGAGTGGGTGAGTGGGTGGGTGGGTGAGTGTGTGGGTGAGTGGGTGAGTGGGTGGGTAGGTGGGTGGGTGAGTGGGTGAGTGAGTGGGTGGGTGAGTGGGTGAGTGAGTGGGTGGGTGGGTGAGTGGGTGAGTGGGTGGGTGGGTGAGTGAGTGAGTGAGTGGGTGGGTGGGTGGGTGAGTGGGTGAGTGAGTGAGTGGGTGGGTGGGTGAGTGAGTGAGTGAGTGGGTGGGTGGGTGAGTGAGTGAGTGGGTGGGTGGGTGAGTGAGTGGGTGGGTGAGTGGGTGGGTGAGTGAGTGAGTGGGTGGGTGGGTGGGTGAGTGGGTGGATGAGTGAGTGAGTGGGTGGGTGGGTGAGTGAGTGGGTGGGTGAGTGGGTGGGTGAGTGAGTGAGTGGGTGGGTGGGTGGGTGAGTGGGTGAGTGAGTGAGTGGGTGGGTGGGTGAGTGAGTGAGTGAGTGGGTGGGTGGGTGAGTGAGTGAGTGAGTGGGTGAGTGAGTGGGTGTGTGAGTGGGTGAGTGAGTGGGTGAGTGAGTGGGGGAGTGAGTGGGTGGGTGAGTGAGTGAGTGAGTGGGTGAGTGGGTGAGTGAGTGAGTGAGTGGGTGAGTGAGTGGGTGAGTGAGTGGGTGCGTGGGTGGGTGGGTGATTGGGTGGGTGGGTGGGTGAGTGGGTGAGTGAGTGGGTGAGTGAGTGAGTGAGTGGGTGGGTGAGTGAGTGGGTGAGTGAGTGAGTGAGTGGGGGAGTGAGTGGGTGGGTGAGTGAGTGAGTGGGTGAGTGGGTGAGTGAGTGAGTGAGTGGGTGGGTGGGTGATTGGGTGGGTGGGTGGGTGAGTGGGTGAGTGAGTGGGTGTGTGAGTGAGTGAGTGAGTGGGTGAGTGAGTGAGTGAGGGAGTGAGTGGGTGGGTGAGTGAGTGAGTGGGTGAGTGGGTGAGTGAGTGAGTAAGTGGGTGAGTGAGTGGGTGAGTGAGTGGGTGAGTGGGTGGGTGGGCGAGTGGGTGGGTGGGTGGGTGAGTGGGTGAGTGAGTGGGTGAGTGAGTGGGTGAGTGAGTGGGTGAGTGAGCGAGTGAGTGGGTGGGTGAATGGGTGAGTGAGTGAGTGGGGGAGTGAGTGGGTGGGTGAGTGAGTGAGTGAGTGGGTGAGTGGGTGAGTGAGTGAGTGGGTGAGTGGGTGGGTGGGTGATTGGGTGGGTAGGTGGTTGGGGTGGGGGAGGCGGATGAGTGGGGGGCGGACATCGATCAGCGTTCCCGTTGTGTCCGTGCCAGGTGGATATTCCCCCCCCACTCCCGTCGAAGGCTTCGCGAACTGCGCGGTCAAAATGGATGCTTTAAATAATGCGGGAAGGGGCCAGAGGGCGTCCCCATCGCACCCCGAGGCGTGGAGGGAACGGCTCCGACTCCCGGCCACGGAGTTTTAACCCGGGGAGGGGTGGAGGGGCTCCGCTCACCATCATGAAGGAACTCAGCGGTCTAAAATTTCGATTTAAAGCTTTCGTGACTGCAAGGATTCACCTCCTTTGGTTCTTTCGGTAAAGCCACCGCCGCGTAGAATGAGAATCAAATAATAAATTGATAAACTAAAATAACACGCGATTAAATTCTCACGACGTTTCGGCCACAAACACAAGCGGCCTTCATCAGGTGAAGGGGACGAGACTGTCTTGGTAGGACAGCGCTGAGCGTGGCTGTGTTTCGCTCCAGCGCTGTCCTACCAGACAGTCTCGTCCCCTTCACCCGATGAAGGCCGCTTGTGTTGTGGCCGAAACGTCGTGAGAATATTATTGTGTTATTTTATTTTATCAATTTATTATTTTATTCTCATTCTACGCGGCGGTGACTTTACCGAAAGAACCAAAGGACTTAGTGGTCGTGAGCAGAGGGTCAGGGAATCCGAAAGCACGAAGAACAACCCAGAGCCCAGGGCCTACTAATGGTATCATAGGCCCTTGACCAGGTCAATAAAGCAGAGATGTAGGTCTTGCTGGAATTCCCTACAACATCTGCTGTAGCAGACGGACAGAAAATATGGCATCTGTGCAGCATTCATCACGCACACACATACACATGCACACAGACACACACACACCCACACACACCCACACACACACGCACACCCACGCCCACGCACCCACACACCCACACACTCACACGCAGACACCCACACACACACACACACACCCACACACACACCTAAACAACCACACACCCACGCACCCACGCACACACCCACGCACACCCACCTACACACCCACACACCTACACACACCCACGCATGCACACACCCACGCACACACACACACCCACACACACACACCCACACACACACACCCACACACCCACACACCCACACACCCACACACTTCGCATAGACAGGCAGCGGGGGCTCGTCCGGGCGCTTGGCTGCCATCACAGTCATCACCCACCTACGCACATCCACCCACACCACTCACCTACGCACACCCACACGCTCACCCACACGCCCACCCACATGCACACACCCACCCACACACACACACACACCCACACACCCACCCACACACTCACACACCCACCCACACACACTCACACACCCACCCACCCACACGCCCACCCACACGCACACACCTACACACCTACACACACACACCCACGCACACACACCCACACACCCACCCACCCACACGCCCACCCACACACCCACCCACACACACACACACACCCACCCACACACACACCCACCCACACACCCACCCACACCCACCCACCCACACACCCACCCACACCCACCCACCCACACACCCACCCACACACACACACCCACCCACACACCCACCCACACACCCACCCACACACCCACCCACACACCCACCCACACACCCAGCCACACACCCACACCCACCCACCCACACACCCACCCCCACCCACCCACACACCCACCCACCCACCCACACGCACACACCTACACACCTACACACCCACGCATACACCCACGCACACACCCACGCACACACCCACGCACACACCCACGCACACACCCACACACCCACCCATCTACACACCTACACACCCACGCACACACTCACACACCCACCCATCTACACACCTACACACCCACGCACACACTCACACACCCACCCACACGCCCACCCACACGCACACACCTACACACCTACACACACACACCCACGCACACACACCCACACACCCACCCACACGCCCACCCACACACCCACCCACCCACCCACGCACACCCACACACCCACACACACACACACCCACCCACCCACACACACACACACCCACCCACACGCCCACCCACCCACACACCCACCCACCCACAAGCACACACACCCACCCACACCCACACACCCACACACCCACCCACACACACACCCACCCACACACCCACCCACACGCCCACCCACACACACACCCACCCACACACCCACCCACACACACCCACCCACACACGCACCTCTCCTTATTGGCAGGCAGCGGGGGCTCGTCCGGGTTCCTGGCCACCATCCCGGTCATCACCACGGCCGCCGGCCCCGTGAGTGATCCGCCGGCTTCGCCACCCGCCTGGCTCCTCATCATCATCATCATCGGCGTGTCGGCTCCATCCGCGGTGGGCGTGGCGTTGGTGGCGGTGGTGGCGGTGGTGGCGATGGTGGTGATGTTGGTGATGTTGGTGATGTTGGGCCGGGGAATCTCCATGGGGCGGTAGTGGGGGCTGTTGGATCGGGGAGTGTCGGGGCCGGATGCCTTGGGGGGGGGGGGGGGGGGTAGAGGGGGGAGGAGCATTAAGGAGGGGGGAGGGGGTGGGATGGTAAACGTTGGGGGTGGTGTTGGGGGTTGTGTTTGGGTGGGTGAGTGAGTGGGTGAATGAGTGGGTGAATGAGTGGGTGAATGAGTGGGTGAGTGGGTGAAGGGGTAGTTGAGTGGGTTAATGGGTGAGTGAGTGAGTGAGTGGGTGAATGAGTGGGTGAGTGAGTGCGTGAATGGGTGAGTGAGTGAGTGGGTCAGTGGGTGAGTGGGTGAGTGAGTGGGTAAATGAGTGGGTGAGTGGGTGAGTGGGTGAGCGGGTGAGTGAGTGGGTGAATGGGTGAGTGAGTGAGTGAGTGTGTGAGTGAGTGAGTGGGTGAGTGGGTGAGTGAGTGAGTGGGTGAGTGGTTGGGATTCCTCCCTCCTTCCCTCCCTCCACCACCACCACCACCTCCTCCACCACCTCCACCACCACCACCAACTTCTCGCCCTCCCTCCTCTTTCCCACCTCATCATCATCATCATCCTCCTCATCCTCGTCGTCCGGCTGTGGGTCGTCGTCGATGACCTCTGTGGTGACCTCTGCCCTCGCCTCGGCCAGCAGCTCCAGCAGCGGCCGATTGTCGGTGGCGTCCGCAACGAACGGATGCTGTGGGTGTGGCACAGGGGGCGTGGCAAACAGGGGGGCGTGGCACACAAGGGGGCGTGGCACATAGGGGGCGTGGCACATAGGGGGCGTGGCAAAAAGGGCGTGGCACACAGGGGGCGTGGTAAAAATGGGGGCGTGGCACACAGGGGGTGTGGCAAACAGGGGGTGTGGCAAACAGGGGGCGTGGCACACAGAGGGGCGTGGCACACGGGGGGCGTGGCACACTGGGGGCGTGGCACACAAGGGGGCGTGGCACATAGGGGGCGTGGCACACAGGGGGGCGGGGCACACTGGGGGCATGGCATGTGAGACAGAGGTTTCTGGCTGAGTGGACCTAGGGGAGTCCGAACCTGCAGCAGCTGCTTGGCAGTCCACCTCTGATCGACGTTTTTCTCCAGACACCGGCGCAGAATGTCGTGAAACTCCCCAGACCTGGGGGGGGTGGGTGGTGAGTGAGTGAGTGGGTGAGTGAGTGAGTGGGTGAGTGAGTGGGTGAGTGGGTGGGTGAGTGGGTGGGTGAGTGGGTGGGTGAGTGGGTGGGTGAGTGGGTGGGTGAGTAGTTGGGTGAGTGAGTGGGTGGGTGGGTGAGTGAGTGGGTGAGTGGTTGGGTGAGTGAGTGAGTGGGTGAGTGAGTGGGTGGGTGAGTGAGTGGGTGGGTGAGTGGGTGGGTGAGTGAGTGGGTGAGTGAGTGGGTGAGTGAGTGGTTGAGTGGGTGAGTGGGTGGATGAGTGGTTGGGTGAGTGAGTGAGTGAGTGGCTGAGTGAGTGGCTGAGCGAGTGGCTGAGTGAGTGAGTGAGTGGCTGAGTGAGTGGCTGAGTGAGTGGCTGATCGAGTGGCTGAGCGAGTGAGTAGCTGAGTGAGTAGCTGAGTGAGTGGCTGAGCGAGTGAGTGAGTGGCTGAGCGAGTGAGTGAGTGGCTGAGCGAGTGAGTGAGCGAGTGGCTGAGCGAGTGAGTGAGCGACTGAGCGAGTGAGTGAGTGGCTGAGCGAGTGAGTGAGCGAGCGAGTGAGCCAGCCAGCGAGGCTCACCAGAGTCCGGGCGAGCGCGTGAGCGTGGGTGGCGGGGAGCGGACGATGCGCAGGAGGACACGCATGGGGTTCACATCGTTGTGCGGCGGCTCCGTCTCCGCCGCCTCGATCAGCGTCACGCCCAGCGACCAGATGTCAGCGCCACAGCCGTACGGAGCTTCCTTAAGAGTCTCGCAGAGAACCACCTCAGGAGCCATCCTGGGGGAGGGAGGGTGGTGGTGAGGGTGGTGAGGGTGGTGGTGGTGAGGGTGGTGGTGGTGGTGAGGGTGGTGGTGAGGGTGGTGGTGGTGAGGGTGGTGGTGGTGAGGGTGGTGGTGGTGGTGAGGGTGGTGGTGAGGATGGTGGTGGTGAGGGTGGTGGTGAGGGTGGTGATGAGGGTGGTGGTGAGGGTGGTGAGGGTGGTGAGTGTGGTGGTGGTGAGGGTGGAGGTGGTGGTGGTGGTGGTGAGCGTGGTGGTGAGGGTGGTGGTGGTGAGGGTGGTGGTGGTGGTGAGGGTGGTGGTGGTGGTGAGGGTGGTGGTGGTGAGGGTGGTGGTGGTGGTGAGCGTGGTGGTGAGGGTGGTGGTGGTGAGGGTGGTGGTGGTGAGGGTGGTGGTGAGGGTGGTGGTTGTGGTGAGGGTGGTGGTGAGGGTGGTGGTGGTGAGGATGGTGGTGGTGAGGGTGGTGGTTGTGGTGAGGGTGGTGGTGGTGAGCGTGGTGGTGGTGAGGGTGGTGGTGAGGATGGTGGTGGTGAGGGTGGTGGTTGTGGTGAGGGTGGTGGTGGTGGTGAGGGTGGTGGTGGTGAGGGTGGAGGTGATGGTGGTGGTGGTGATGGTGGTGGTGGTGATGGTGGTGGTGATGGTGGTGGTGAGGGTGGTGGTGAGGGTGGTGGTGAAGGTGGTGGTGGTGATGTTGGTGATGGTGATGGTGATGTTGATGATGGTGGTGATGATGGTGATGTTGATGATGGTGGTGATGGTGGTGATGGTGGTGGTGATGGTGATGGTGACCGTGATGTTGACGGTGATGTTGATGTTGATGATGATGTTGATGGTGATGTTGACGATGATGTTGATGATGATGGTGATGGTTATGTTGATGTTGATGGTGATGTTGATGGTGATGTTGATGGTGATGGGGGTGGTGATGGTGGTGATGGTGATGATGTTGATGATGATGATGGTTATGTTGATGTTGATGGTGATGTTGATGGTGATGTTGACGGTGATGTTGACGAAGATGTTGATGATGATGGTTATATTTTGATTTAAAGCTTTCGTGACTGCAGTAATTCATATTCTTAGTTTTTTCGGTATATTTTGTTATTTTGTTGTTTCTCTTCAACTTGACTTTACCGAAAAAACTAAGAATATAAGATGATGGTTATGTTGATGTTGATGGTGATGTTGATGGTGATGTTGATGGTGATGGGGGTGGTGATGGTGGTAATGGTGATGATGTTGATGATGATGATGGTTATGTTGATGATGATGTTGATGGTGATGTTGATGGGGGTGTGGACGATGGTAATGATGTTGATGATGTTGATGGTGATGATGTTGACGATGATGCTGATGATGATGGGGGTGTGGACGATGATGTTGATGATGATGTTGACGATGATGATGATGTTGACGATGATGATGGTGATGTTGATGATGATGGTGACGATGATGATGATGATGGTGATGTTGATGATGATGGTAATGTTGATGATGATGTTGATGTTGATGATGACGGTGTTGGTGATGGTGGTGATGATGTTGATGATGGTGATGATGATGTTGGTGATGATGTTGACGATGATGCTGATGATGATGATGTTGATGATGTTGATGATGATGCTGATGATGATGATGGGGGTGTGGATGGTGATGTTGACGATGTTAGTGATGATGTTGATGGTGATGATGTTGATGATGATGGTGGTGGTGATGATGATGGGGGTGTGGATGCTCACCAGTAGGGGGTCCCAATGAAAGTGTCTCTCTTCTGGAGAGTGTTTTGGTTTTTCGCTGACACCCCGAAATCAGCTGTGATGACAACATCACCAACATCACCAACATCACCAACATCACCAACATCACCATCACCAACATCACCATCACCAACATCACCATCATCACCATCATCACCATCAACATCACCATCATCACCATCAACAACATCAACACCATCAACATCACCATCAACATCACCATCAACATCACCATCAACATCACCATCAACACCACCATCAACACCACCATCACCATCATCACCATCATCATCACCATCATCACCATCATCACCATCAACATCACCATCAACATCACCATCACCATCATCATCACCATCATCACCATCATCACCATCAACATCACCATCATCACCATCAACACCATCAACATCACCATCAACATCACCATCAACACCACCATCACCATCATCATCACCATCATCACCATCATCACCATCAACATCACCATCAACATCATCAACAACATCACCATCACCAACATCACCATCACCACCATCATTACCATCATCACCATCAACATCACCAACATCACCATCACCACCATCACGAACATCACCATCACCACCATCACCATCAACACCATCATCACCATCATCATCACCATCATCACCATCATCACCATCATCACAATCAACAGCACTATCAGCATCACCATCAACACCACCATCATCATCACCATCATCACCATCATCACCATCATCAACAACATCACCATCACCAACATCACCATCACCACCATCATTACCATCATCACCATCAACATCACCATCGACATCACCATCAACACCACCATCACCATCATCATCACCATCATCACCATCAACATCACCACCATCACCAACATCACCATCACCACCATCATTACCATCATCACCATCAACATCACCATCACCACCATCACCATCACCAACATCACCACCATCATTACCATCATCACCATCAACATCACCATCAACACCACCATCACCATCATCAACACCATCATCACCATCACCTACATCACCATCACCAACATCACCAACATCACCACCATCACCATCAACACCATCAACATCACCATCAACATCACCATCAACACCACCATCACCATCATCACCATCATCACCATCAACATCATCAACAACATCACCATCACCAACATCAACATCACCATCAACACCACCATCACCATCATCATCACCATCATCATCACCATCATCACCATCATCACCATCAACATCGCCATCAACACCATGATCATCATCACCATCATCACCATCATCAACAACATCACCATCACCAACATCACCATCACCACCATCATTACCATCATCACCATCAACATCACCATCGACATCACCATCAACACCACCATCACCATCATCACCATCAACATCACCACCATCACCAACATCACCATCACCACCATCATTACCATCATCACCATCACCACCATCACCATCATCACCATCATCATCACCATCAACATCACCATCAACAACAACATCACCACCATCACCATCGAGTGAGTTAATTAGTGGGCGAGGAGGATGTTGAACGACTGAGCGGCTGAACAAGCGGCTGAGCGACTGAACGACTGAACAGCTGAGCGACTGAACGACTGAACAAGCGACTGAGCGGCTGAGCGGCTGAGCGAGTGAGCGACTGAGCGACTGAACGACTGAACAAGCGACTGAGCGGCTGAGCGGCTGAGCGAGTGAGCGACTGAGCGACTGAGCGACTGAGTGAATGAGCGGCTGAGCGACTGAACGACTGAGTGAATGAGCGGCTGAGCGAATGAGCGAGTGGGCGAGTGGGCGAGTGGGCGAGTGGGCGACTGAGCGACTGAGCGACTGAGCGAATGGGCGAGTGGGCGAGCGACTGAACGACTGAGCGAGTGAGCGATTGAGCGAGTGGGCGACTGCATGACTGAGCGGCTGAACAAGCGACTGAGCGGTTGAACAAGCGACTGAGCGGCTGAACAAGCGACTGAGCGGCTGAACAAGCGACTGAGCGGCTGAGCGAGCGGATGAGCGAATGGGCGACTGATCGACTGAGCGAATGAGCGAGTGGACGAGCGACTGAGCGGCTGAGCGAGTGAGCGACTGATCGACTGAGCGAATGAGCGAGTGGGCGACTGGGCGAATGAGCGAGTGGGCGAGCGACTGAGCGGCTGAGCGAGTGAGCGACTGATCGACTGAGCGAATGAGCGAGTGGGCGACTGGGCGAGCGACTGAGCGACTGAGCGGCTGAGCGACTGAGCGAGCGGCTGAGCGGCTGTGTGACTGAGCGGCTGACAGAGCGACTGAGCGAATGAGCGAGTGGGCGACTGAGCGAGTGAGCGAATGAGCGAGTGGGCGACTGAGCGAGTGAGCGAATGAGCGAGTGGGCGACTGAGCGAATGAGCGAGTGGGCGAGCGACTGAGCGGCTGAGCGAGTGAGCGACTGAACGACAGAGCGACTGAGCGAGTGACTGAGTGACTGAGCGACTGAACAAGTGACTGAGCGACTGAACGACTGAGCAACTGAGCGAGTGACTGAGCGGCTGAGCGACTGAACGACAGAGCGACTGAGCGAGTGACTGAACGACTGAACGACTGAGCGAGCGACTGAGCGGCTGAGCGACTGAACGACTGAACGAGCGACTGAGCGAGCGACTGAACGACAGAGCGACTGAGCGAGTGACTGAACGACTGAGCGACTGAGCGAGCGACTGAGCGGCTGAGCGACTGAACGACTGAATGACTGAGCGACGGAGCGACGGAGCGACTGAACGAATGAGCGAGCGACTGAGCGAGCGACTGAACGACAGAGCGACTGAGCGAGTGACTGAGTGACTGAGCGATTGAGTGAGCGACTGAGAGAGCGACTGAGCGACTGAACAAGCGACTGAGCGACTGAACGACTGAACGACTGAGCAACTGAGCGAGCGACTGAGCGGCTGATCGACTGAGCGACTGAGCGGCTGACTGAGCGAATGAGCGAACGAAAGAACGAACAGCTAAACACTCGCACCGAGGTCACGATGGATGACTCAACGAGTGAGTGAGTTAGTGACTGAGTGAATGAATAAACGACCGACTGAACGACTGAAAGAATGAGTGAAGGAGTGAGTGAATGAGTGAATGAATGAGTGAATGAATGAAAGAATGAACGACTCACCCAGCTTGACTGTACCGTCCAGGGCGAGGGGCACGTTGCCGGCCTTGAGGTCGCGATGGATCACTCAGCGAGTGAGTTAGTGAGTGAGTGAGTTAGCGAGTGAGTAAGCGAGTGAATGAATGAGTGAATGAATGAGTGAGTGAATGAGTGAATGAATGAACGACTCACCCAGCTTGACTGTGCCGTCCAGGGCGAGGAGCACGTTGCCGGCCTTGAGGTCGCGATGGATCACTCAGCGGGTGAGTTAGTGAGTGAGTGAGTTAGTGAGTGAATGAGTGAATGAATGAGTGAGTGAATGAGTGAATGAACGACTCACCCAGCTTGACTGTGCCGTCCAGGGCGATGAGGACGTTGCCGGCCTTGAGGTCGCGATGGATCACTCAGTGAGTGAGTTAGCGAGTGAGTTAGCGAGTGAGTTAGCGAGTGAATGAATGAGTGAATGAATGAGTGAGTGAATGAGTGAATGAACGACTCACCCAGCTTGACTGTACCGTCCAGGGTGAGGAGCACGTTGCCGGCCTTGAGGTCGCGATGGATCACTCAGCGAGTGAGTTAGCGAGTGAGTGAGTTAGCGAGTGAGTAAGCGAGTGAATGAATGAGTGAATGACTGAGTGAGTGAATGAGTGAATGAACGACTCACCCAGCTTGACTGTGCCGTCCAGGGCGAGGAGGACGTTGCCGGCCTTGAGGTCGCGATGGATCACTCAGCGAGTGAGTTAGTGAGTGAGTTAGCGAGTGAGTTAGCGAGTGAGTTAGCGAGTGAATGAATGAGTGAATGAATGAGTGAGTGAATGAGTGAATGAACGACTCACCCAGCTTGACTGTGCCGTCCAGGGCGAGGAGCACGTTGCCGGCCTTGAGGTCGCGATGGATCACGTGGAGGACAGTGTGGAGGTAGTCGAGAGCCAGTAGGACTTGCCGAGCCACGCAGCGAATCTGCGGCTCGCTGAGCCCGTGGTCAACGTCTACACACGGGGCGTGCCAGGTAGGGGGTGAGTCACTCAGGTAGGGGGTGAGTCACTCAGGTAGGGGGTGAGTCACTCAGGTAGGGGGTGAGTCACTCAGGTAGGGGGTGAGTCACTCAGGTAGGGGGTGAGTCACTCTGGTAGGGGGTGAGTCACTCAGGTAGGGGGTGAGTCACTCAGGTAGGGGGTGAGTCACTCAGGTAAGGGGTGAGTCAGGTAGGGGGTGAGTCACTCAGGTAGGGGGTGAGTCACTCAGGTAAGGGGTGACTCACTCAGGTAGGGGGTGAGTCACTCAGGTAGGGGGTGAGTCACTCAGGTAGGGGGTGAGTCACTCAGGTAGGGGGTGAGTCACTCAGGTAGGTGACTCACTCAGGTAGGGGGTGAGTCACTCAGGTAGGGGGTGAGTCAGGTAGGGGGTGAGTCACTCAGGTAGGGGGCGAGCCGAGGTAGGGGGTGAGTCACTCAGGTAGGGGGTGAGTCACTCAGGTAGGGGGTGAGTCACTCAGGTAGGGGGTGAGTCACTCAGGTAGGGGGTGAGTCACTCAGGTAAGGGGTGACTCACTCAGGTAGGGGGTGAGTCCACTCAGGTAGGTGACTCCACTCAGGTAGGGGTGTGAGTCACTCAGGTAGGGGGTGAGTCAGGTAGGGGGTGAGTCACTCAGGTAGGGGGCGAGCCGAGGTAGGGGGTGAGTCACTCAGGTAAGGGGGTGAGTCCACTCAGGTAGGGGGTGAGTCACTCAGGTAGGGGGTGAGTCACTCAGGTAGGGGTGAGTCACTCAGGTAAGGGGTGACTCACTCAGGTAGGGGGTGAGTCACTCAGGTAGGGGGTGAGTCACTCAAGGTAGGGGGTGAGGTCACTCAGGTAGGGGGTGAGTCACTCAGGTAGGGGGTGAGTCACGTCCCGGTCGGGGGTGAGTCACTCAGGTAGGGGGTGAGTCAGGTAGGGGGTGAGTCACTCAGGTAGGGGGTGAGTCACTCAGGTAGGGGGTGAGTCACTCAGGTAGGGGGTGACTCACTCAGGTAGGGGGTGAGTCACTCAGGTAGGGGTGAGTCACTCAGGTAGGGGGTGAGTCACTCAGGTAGGGGGTGAGCCACTCAGGTAGGGGGTGAGTCACTCAGGTAGGGTGAGTCACTCAGGTGGGTGAGTCACTCAGGTAGGGGGTGAGTCACTCAGGTTAGGGGGTGAGTCACTCAGGTAGGGGTGAGTCACTCAGGTAGGGGGTGAGTCACTCAGGTAGGGGGTGAGTCACTCAGGTAGGGGGTGAGTCACTCAGGTAGGGGGTGAGTCACTCAGGTAGGGGGTGAGTCACTCAGGTAGGGGGTGAGTCACTCAGGTAGGGGGTGAGTCACTCAGGTAAGGGGTGAGTCACTCAGGTAAGGGCGCTGAGTCACTCAGGTAGGGGGTGAGTCACTCAGGTAGGGGGTGAGTCACTCAGGTAGGGGGTGAGTCACTCAGGTAGGGGGTGAGTCACTCAGGTAGGGGGTGATCACTCAGGTAGGGGGTGAGTCACTCAGGTAGGGGGTGAGTCACTCAGGTAGGGGGTGAGCTCACTCAGGTAGGGGGTGAGTCACTCAGGTAGGGTGTGAGTCACTCAGGTAGGGGGTGAGTTCACTCAGGTAGGGGGTGAGTCACTCAGGTAGGAGGGTGAGTCACTCAGTAGGGGGTGAGTCACTCAGGTAGGGGGTGAGTCACTCAGGTAGGGGGTGAGTCACTCAGGTAGGGGGTGAGTCACTCAGGTAGGGGGTGAGTCCTCAGGTAGGGGGTGAGTCCACTCAGGTAGGGGGTGAGTCACTCAGGTAGGGGGTGAGTCACTCAGGTAGGGGGTGAGTCACTCAGGTAGGGGTGACTCACTCAGGTAGGGGGTGAGTCACTCAGGTAGGGGGTGAGTCACTCAGGTAGGGGGGTGAGCCACTCAGGTAGGGGGTGGAGTCACTCAGGTAGGGGGGTGAGTCACTCAGATAGGGGGTGAGTCACTCAGGTAGGGGGTGAGCCACTCAGGTAGGGGGTGAGTCCAGGTAGGGGGTGAGTCCACTCAGGTAGGGGGTGAGTCACTCAGGTAGGGGGGATTCACTCAGGTAGGGGGTGAGTCACTCAGGTAGGGGGTGAGCCCTCAGGTAGGGGGTGAGTCACTCAGGTAGGGGGTGATCACTCAGGTAGGGGGTGAGTCACTCAGGTAGGGGGTGAGTCACTCAGGTAGGGGGTGAGTCACTCAGGTAGGGGGTGAGTCACTCAGGTAGGGGGTGAGTCACTCAGGTAGGGGGTGAGTCCACTCAGGTAGGGGGTGAGTCACTCAGGTAGGGGGTGAGTCACTCAGGTAGGGGGTGAGTCACTCAGGTAGGGGGTGAGTCACTCAGGTAGGGGGTGAGTCACTCAGGTAGGGGGTGAGTCACTCAGGTAGGGGGTGAGTCACTCAGGTAGGGGGTGAGTCACTCAGGTAGGGGGTGAGTCACTCAGGTAGGGGGTGAGTCACTCAGGTAGGGGGTGAGTCACTCAGGTAGGGGGTGAGTCCACTCAGGTAGGGGGTGAGTCACTCAGGTAGGGGGTGAGTCACTCAGGTAGGGGGGTGAGTCACTCAGGTAGGGGGTGAGTCACTCAGGTAGGGGGTGAGTCACTCAGGTAGGGGGTGAGTCACTCAGGTAGGGGGTGAGTCACTCAGGTAGGGGGTGAGTCACTCAGGTAGGGGGTGAGTCACTCAGGTAGGGGGTGAGTCACTCAGGTAGGGGGTGAGTCACTCAGGTAGGGGGTGAGTCACTCAGGTAGGGGGTGAGTCACTCAGGTAGGGGGTGAGTCACTCAGGTAGGGGTGAGTCACTCAGGTAGGGGGTGAGTCACTCAGGTAGGGGGTGAGTCACTCAGGTAGGGGGTGAGTCACTCAGGTAGGGGGTGAGTCACTCAGGTAGGGGTGAGTCACTCAGGTAGGGGGTGAGTCACTCAGGTAGGGGGTGAGTCACTCAGGTAGGGGGTGAGTCACTCAGGTAGGGGGTGAGTCACTCAGGTAGGGGGTGAGTCACTCAGGTAGGGGGTGAGTCAGCTCGAGGTGACTCACGGTAGGGGGTGAGTCACTCAGGTAGGGGGTGAGTCACTCAGGTAGGGGGTGAGTCACTCAGGTAGGGGGTGAGTCACTCAGGTAGGGGGTGAGTCACTCAGGTAGGGGGTGAGTCACTCAGGTAGGGGGTGAGTCACTCAGGTAGGGGGTGAGTCACTCATGGAGGGGGGTGAGTCACTCAGGTAGGGGGTGAAGTCACTCAAGGTAGGGGGGTGAGTCACTCAGGTAAGGGGTGAGTCACTCAGGGTAGGGGGTGAGTCACTCAAGGTAGGGGGTGAGCACTCAGTAGGGGGTGAGTCACTCAGGTTAGGGGTGAGTCACTCAGGTAGGGGGTGAGTCACTCAGGTAGGGGGGTGAGTCACTCTCAGGTAGGGGGTGAGTCACTCAGGTAGGGGGTGAGCCACTCAGGTAGGGGGTGAGTCACTCAGGCAGGGTGTGAGCCACTCAGGTAGGGGGTGAGTCACTCAGGTAGGGGGGTGAGCTCACTCAGGTAGGGGGTGAGTCACTCAGGTAGGGGGTGGATTCACTCAGGTAGGGGGTGAGTCACTCAGGTAGGGGGGTGACTCACTCAGGTAGGGGGTGAGCTCACTCAGGTAGGGGGTTGAGTCCCTCAGGTCGGGGGTGAGTCCCTCAGGTAGGGGGTGAGTCACTCAGGTAGGGGGTGAGTCACTCAGGTAGGGGGTGAGTCACTCAGGTAGGGGGTGAGTCACTCAGGTAGGGGGTGAGTCACTCAGGTAGGGGGTGAGTCACTCAGGTAGGGGGTGAGTCACTCAGGTAGGGGGTGAGTCACTCAGGTAGGGGGTGAGTCACCTCAGGTAGGGCGGTGAGTTCACTCAGGTAAGGGGTGAGTCAGGTAGGAGGTGAGTCACTCTAGGTGAAGGGGGTGAGTCACTCAGGTAAGGGGGTGAGATTCCACTCAGGTTAAGGGGGTGAGTCACTTCAGGTAGGGGGCTGATGTCACTCAGGCTAGGGGGTGAGTCACTCAGGTAGGGGTGTGAGCACTCAGGTACGGGGTTGAGTCACTCAGGGTAGGGTGGGTGAGTCACTCAGGTAGGGGGTTGAGTCAACTCAGGTAGGGGGTGACTGCACTCACGGTAGGGGTTGAGCTCCACTCAGGTAGCGGGTGCAGTCCATCTCAGGTAGGGGCTCGGTGAGTCACTCAGGTAGGGGCCGTGAGTCACTAGAGGGGGTGAGTCACCTTCAGGTAGGGGGTGCGTCACTCAGGGTAGGGGGTGAGTCCACTCAGGTAGGGGGTGAGACACTCAGGTAGGGGGTTGAGTCAGGTAGGGGGTGAGTCACTCAGGTAGGGGGTGAAGTCACTCAGGTAGGGGGTGAGTCACTCAGGTAGGGGTGAGTCACTCAGGTAGGGGTGAGTCCACTCAGGTAGGGGGTGAGTCACTCAGGTAGGGGGTGAGTCACTCAGGTAGGGGGGAGTCACTCAGGTAGGGGGGAGTCAACCTAGGTATGGGGGTGAGTCCACTCAGGTAGGGGGTGAGTCACTCAGGTAAGGGGTGAGTCAGGTAGGGGGTGAGTCACCAGGTAGGGGTGTGAGTCACTCAGGTAGGGGGTGAGTCACTCAGGTAAGGGGGTGAGTCCACTCAGGTAGGGGGTGAGTCACTCAGGTAGGGGGTGAGTCACTCAGGTAGGGGGTGAGTCACTCAGGTAGGGGGTGAGTCACTCAGGCTAGGGGGTGTGAGTCACTCAGGTAGGGGGTGAGTCACTCAGGTAGGGGGTGAGTCACTCAGGTAGGGGGTGACTCACTCAGGTAGGGGGTGAGCTCACTCAGGTAGGGGGTGAGCCACTCAGGTAGGGGTGAGTCACTCAGGTAGGTGAGTCACTCAGGTAGGGGTGAGTCACTCAGGTAGGGGGTGAGTCACTCAGGTAGGGGGTGAGTCACTCAGGTAGGGGGTGAGCCACTCAGGTAGGGGGTGAGTCAGGTAGGGGGTGAGTCACTCAGGTAGGGGGTGAGTCACTCAGGTAGGGGGTGAGTCACTCAGGTAGGGGTGAGTCACTCAGGTAGGGGGTGAGCCACTCAGGTAGGGGGTGAGTCACTCAGGTAGGGGGTGAGTCACTCAGGTAGGGGGTGAGTCACTCAGGTAGGGGTGAGTCACTCAGGTAGGGGGTGAGTCACTCAGGTAGGGGGTGAGTCACTCAGGTAGGGGGTGAGTCACTCAGGTAGGGGGTGAGTCACTCAGGTAGGGGGTGAGTCACTCAGGTAGGGGGTGAGTCACTCAGGTAAGGGGTGAGTCAGGTAGGGGGTGAGTCACTCAGGTAGGGGGTGAGTCACTCAGGTAGGGGGTGAGACACTCAGGTAGGGGTGAGTCACTCAGGTAGGGGGTGAGTCACTCAGGTAGGGGGTGAGGTCACTCAGGTAGGGGGTGAGTCACTCAGGTAGGGGGTGAGTCACTCAGGTAGGGGTGAGTCACTCAGGTAGGGGGTGAGTCACTCAGGTAGGGGGTGAGTCACTCAGGTAGGGGGTGACTCACTCAGGTAGGGGGTGAGTCACTCAGGTAGGGGGTGAGCCACTCAGGTAGGGGGTGAGTCACTCAGGTAGGGGGTGAGTCACTCAGGTAGGGGGTGAGTCACTCAGGTAGGGGGTGAGTCACTCAGGTAGGGGGTGTGAGTCACTCAGGTAGGGGGTGAGTCACCTCAGGTAGGGGGTGAGTCACTCAGGCAGGGGGTGAGCCACTCAGGTAGGGGGTGAGTCACTCAGGTAGGGGGTGAGTCACTCAGGTAGGGGGTGAGTCACTCAGGTAGGGGGTGAGTCACTCAGGTAGGGGGTGAGTCACTCAGGTAGGGGGTGAGCCACTCAGGTAGGGGGTGAGTCACTCAGGCAGGGGGTGAGCCACTCAGGTAGGGGGTGAGTCACTCAGGTAGGGGGTGAGCCACTCAGGTAGGGGGTGAGTCACTCAGGTAGGGGGTGATTCACTCAGGTAGGGGGTGAGTCACTCAGGTAGGGGGGTGACTCACTCAGGTAGGGGGTGACTCACTCAGGTAGGGGGTGAGTCACTCAGGTAGGGGGTGAGTCACTCAGGTAGGGGGTGAGTCACTCAGGTAGGGGGTGAGTCACTCAGGTAGGGGGTGAGTCAGGTGGGTGACTCACTCAGGTAGGGGGTGAGTCACTCAGGTAGGGGGTGAGTCACTCAGGTAGGGGGTGAGTCACTCAGGTAGGGGGTGAGTCACTCAGGTAGGGGGTGAGTCACTCAGGTAGGGGGTGACTCACTCAGGTAGGGGGTGAGTCACTCAGGTAGGGGGTGAGTCACTCAGGTAGGGGGTGAGTCACTCAGGTAGGGGGTGAGTCACTCAGGTAGGGGGTGAGTCACTCAGGTAGGGGGTGAGCGAGGTGGGTGACTCACTCAGGTAGGGGGTGAGTCAGGTAGGGGGTGACTCACTCAGGTAGGGGGTGAGTCAGGTGGGTGACTCACTCAGGTAGGTGACTCACTCAGGTAGGTGACTCACTCAGGTAGGGGGTGAGTCAGGTGGGTGACTCACTCAGGTAGGTGACTCACTCAGGTAGGTGACTCACTCAGGTAGGGGGTGAGTCAGGCAGGTGACTCACTCAGGTAGGGGGTGAGTCAGGTGGGTGACTCACTCAGGTAGGTGACTCACTCAGGTAGGGGGTGAGTCAGGTGGGTGACTCACTCAGGTAGGTGACTCACTCAGGTAGGTGACTCACTCAGGTAGGGGGTGAGTCAGGCAGGTGACTCACTCAGGTAGGGGGTGAGTCAGGTGGGTGACTCACTCAGGTAGGTGACTCACTCAGGTAGGTGACTCACTCAGGTAGGTGACTCACTCAGGTAGGGGGTGACTCACTCAGGTAGGTGACTCACTCAGGTAGGTGACTCACTCAGGTAGGGGGTGAGTCAGGCAGGTGACTCACTCAGGTAGGGGGTGAGTCAGGTGGGTGACTCACTCAGGTAGGGGGTGAGCGAGGTGGGTGACTCACTCAGGTAGGGGGTGACTCACTCAGGTAGGGGGTGAGTCAGGTAGGTGACTCACTCAGGTAGGGGGTGAGTCAGGCAGGTGACTCACTCAGGTAGGGGGTGAGTCACTCAGGTAGGGGGTGAGCGAGGTGGGTGACTCACTCAGGTAGGGGGTGAGTCACTCAGGTAGGGGGTGAGCGAGGTGGGTGACTCACTCAGGTAGGGGGTGACTCACTCAGGTAGGGGGTGAGTCAGGCAGGTGACTCACTCAGGTAGGGGGTGAGTCAGGCAGGTGACTCACTCAGGTAGGGGGTGAGTCACTCAGGTAGGGGGTGAGCGAGGTGGGTGACTCACTCAGGTAGGAGGTGACTCACTCAGGTAGGAGGTGAGTCACTCAGGTAGGGGGTGACTCACTCAGGTAGGGGGTGAGTCAGGTGGGTGACTCACTCAGGTAGGGGGTGAGCGAGGTGGGTGACTCACTCAGGTAGGAGGTGACTCACTCAGGTAGGAGGTGAGTCACTCAGGTAGGGGGTGAGTCACTCAGGTAGGGGGTGAGCGAGGTGGGTGACTCACTCAGGTAGGAGGTGACTCACTCAGGTAGGAGGTGAGTCACTCAGGTAGGGGGTGAGTCACTCAGGTAGGGGGTGAGCGAGGTGGGTGACTCACTCAGGTAGGAGGTGACTCACTCAGGTAGGAGGTGAGTCACTCAGGTAGGGGGTGACTCACTCAGGTAGGGGGTGAGTCAGGCAGGTGACTCACTCAGGTAGGGGGTGAGTCACTCAGGTAGGGGGTGAGCGAGGCTACCTGGGGGAGCTTTGTGTGAGTGTCACTGACCCATCATGATAGAGTCCAGGGCACCACCAGCACAGAACTCGAGCAGAATCTGAGATGCACGACATACGGAGAGTCAGGAACATCGTCTTGAAGATCATCATCATCATCATCAGCGTGATCATCATCATGAAGATCATCATGAAAATCATCATCATCATCTACGTGATCATCATCATCAGCGTGATCTTCATCATCATCATGAAGATCATCGTCATCATGAAAATCATCGTCATCATCATCGTGATCTTCATCATCATCATGAAGATCATCATCATCATCAGCGTGATCATCATCATCATCATCAGCGTGATCTTCATCATCATCATGAAGATCATCGTCATCATCATCATCATCATGAAAATCATCATCATCATCAACGTGATCATCATCATCATTACGTGTGTAAGTGTGTGTAAGTGTGTATGTGTGTGTAAGTGTGTAAGTGTGTGTAAGTGTGTGTGTGTAAGTGTGTAAGTGTGTGTGTAAGTGTGTGTGTGTAAGTGTGTGTGTGTAAGTGTGTGTGTAAGTGTGTGTATGTGTGTAAGTGTGTGTAAGTGTGTGTGTGAGCACGTGGTTGTGTGTGTAACTGTGTGTGTAAGTGTGTGTGTAAGTGTGTGTGTAACTGTGTGTAAGTGTGTGTAAGTGTGTAAACTCACCCACAGCTTGGGTCCACAGTGGTAAGCAGCTACAAGTGTGATCACGTGGTTGTGTGTGTAAGTGTGTGTGTGTAAGTGTGTGTGTAAGTGTGTGTGTGTGTAACTGTGTGTGTGTAAGTGTGTGTAAGTGTGTGTAAGTGTGTGTGTAACTGTGTGTGTGTGTAAGTGTGTGTGTGTGTAAGTGTGTGTGTGTGTAAGTGTGTAACTGTGTGTGTGTAAGTGTGTGTAAGTGTGTGTGTGTGTAAGTGTGTAACTGTGTGTGTGTAAGTGTGTGTAAGTGTGTGTGTAACTGTGTGTGTGTAAGTGTGTGTGTGTAAGTGTGTGTAAGTGTGTGTGTGTAAGTGTGTGTAAGTGTGTAAGTGTGTAAGTGTGTGTAAGTGTGTGTGTGTGTAAGTGTGTAACTGTGTGTGTGTAAGTGTGTGTAAGTGTGTGTGTAACTGTGTGTGTAAGTGTGTGTGTGTAAGTGTGTAACTGTGTGTGTGTAAGTGTGTGTGTGTAAGTGTGTGTAAGTGTGTAAGTGTGTGTAAGTGTGTGTAAGTGTGTAAGTGTGTGTAAGTGTGTGTGTGTGTAAGTGTGTAAGTGTGTAAGTGTGTGTAAGTGTGTGTGTGTGTAAGTGTGTGTGTGTAAGTGTGTGTAACTGTGTGTGTAAGTGTGTGTGTAAGTGTGTGTAAGTGTGTGTGTGTAAGTGTGTGTGTGTAAGTGTGTAAGTGTGTAAGTGTGTGTGTAAGTGTGTGTGTGTAAGTGTGTGTAAGTGTGTGTGTGTAAGTGTGTGTGTAAGTGTGTGTGTAAGTGTGTGTGTGTGTAACTGTGTAAGTGTGTAAGTGTGTAAGTGTGTGTGTGTAAGTGTGTGTGTAAGTGTGTGTGTAAGTGTGTAAGTGTGTAAGTGTAAGTGTGTGTGTGTAAGTGTGTGTAAGTGTGTGTGTGTGTAAGTGTGTAAGTGTGTGTAAGTGTGTGTGTGTAAGTGTGTGTGTGTAAGTGTAAGTGTGTAAGTGTAAGTGTGTAAGTGTGTGTAAGTGTAAGTGTGTGTAAGTGTGTAAATGTGTGTGTGTAAGTGTGTAAGTGTAAATGTGTGTGTAAGTGTAACTGTGTGTGTAAGTGTAAGTGTGTAAGTGTGTAAGTGTAACTGTGTGTGTAAGTGTGTAAGTGTGTAAGTGTAAGTGTGTGTGTGTGTAAGTGTGTGTAAGTGTGTGTGTAAGTGTGTGTGTAAGTGTGTGTAAGTGTGTGTGTAAGTGTGTGTGTAAGTGTAAGTGTGTAAGTGTGTGTGTGTGTAAGTGTGTGTGTGTGTAAGTGTGTAAGTGTAAGTGTGTAAGTGTAAGTGTGTAAGTGTAAGTGTGTAAGTGTAAGTGTGTGTAAGTGTGTGTGTAAGTGTGTAAGTGTAAGTGTGTGTGTAAGTGTGTGTAAGTGTAAGTGTGTGTAAGTGTGTAAGTGTAAGTGTGTAAGTGTAAGTGTGTAAGTGTAAGTGTGTAAGTGTGTAAGTGTAAGTGTGTGTAAGTGTGTGTGTGTAAGTGTGTAAGTGTAAGTGTGTGTGTAAGTGTGTGTAAGTGTGTATAAGTGTGTGTGTAAGTGTGTAAGTGTAAGTGTGTGTAAGTGTGTGTGTGTAAGTGTGTAAGTGTAAGTGTGTGTGTAAGTGTGTGTAAGTGTGTATAAGTGTAAGTGTGTAAGCTCACCCACAGCTTGGGCCCACAGTGATAAGCAGCTACCAGTGTGATCACGTGGTTGTGTACCTGTGTGTAAGTGTGTAAGTGTGTGTGTAAGTGTGTGTGTAAGTGTGTAAGTGTGTGTGTGTAAGTGTGTGTGTGTAAGTGTAACTGTGTGTGTAAGTGTAAGTGTGTAAGTGTGTGTAACTGTATGTGTGTGTAAGTGTGTGTGTGTAAGTGTGTGTAAGTGTAAGTGTGTAAGTGTGTAAGTGTGTAAGTGTGTAAGTGTGTGTAAGTGTAAGTGTGTAAGTGTGTGTAAGTGTAAGTGTGTAAGCTCACCCACAGCTTGGGCCCACAGTGATAAGCAGCTACCAGTGTGATCACGTGGTTGTGTAAGTGTGTGTGTGTAAGTGTAAGTGTGTAAGTGTGTGTAAGTGTGTGTGTGTAAGTGTGTAAGTGTAAGTGTGTGTAAGTGTGTAAGTGTGTGTGTAAGTGTGTGTGTAAGTGTGTAAGTGTGTGTGTGTAAGTGTGTGTGTGTAAGTGTGTGAGTAAGTGTAAGTGTAAGTGTGTGTAAGTGTGTAAGTGTGTGTGTAAGTGTGTAAGTGTAAATGTGTGTGTGTAAGTGTAAGTGTGTAAGTGTGTAAGTGTGTGTGTAAGTGTAAGTGTGTAAGTGTGTGTGTGTAACTGTGTGTAAGTGTAAGTGTGTAAGTGTGTGTAACTGTATGTGTGTGTAAGTGTGTGTGTGTAACTGTGTGTAAGTGTAAGTGTGTAAGTGTGTAACTGTGTAAGTGTGTAACTGTGTGTAAGTGTGTAAGTGTGTGTGTAAGTGTGTAAGTGTAAGTGTGTAAGTGTGTAAGCTCACCCACAGCTTGGGCCCACAGTGATAAGCAGCTACAAGTGTGATCACGTGGTTGTGCCTGCAGGCAGACAGAACCTCCACCTCCACCAGAAGCTCCTCCATCTCCTCCTCGTCACTTGGCTCCATCACCTTGGCAGCAGCTAGCTGCCCTGTCTGGCGGTTCTGTACCTGGTGGGTGGGTTAGTGGGGGGGTGGGTTAGTGGGGGGGGGGGGGGTGGGTGGGGGGGTGGGTGGGTGGGTGGGTGGGTGAGTGAGTGAGTGGGTGAGTGGGTGGGTGAGTGGGTGAGTGGGTGGGTGAGTGAGTGGGTGGGTGGGTGAGTGGGTTGGTGGGTGGGTGAGTGGGGGGGTGGGTGGGGGGGGGGGGGGGTGGGTGGGGGGGTGGGTGGGTGGGTGGGTGGGTGAGTGAGTGAGTGGGTGAGTGGGTGGGTGAGTGGGTGAGTGGGTGGGTGAGTGAGTGGGTGGGTGGGTGAGTGGGTTGGTGGGTGGGTTAGTGGGGGGGTGGGTTAGTGGGGGGGGGGGGTGGGTGGGGGGGTGGGTTAGTGGGGGGGGGGGTGTTAGTGGGGGGGGGGTGGGTGAGTGAGTGAGTGGGTGGGTGGGGGGGTGAGTGAGTGGGTGAGTGAGTGAGTGGGTGGGTGAGTGGGTGGGTGGGTGAGTGAGTGAGTGGGTGGGTGAGTGGGTGGGTGGGTGAGTGAGTGGGTGAGTGAGTGAGTGAGTGGGTGAGTGAAAGAGTGAGTGAGTGGGTGAGTCAAGTGATGTGTGTGAGAACTACCACCACCCTCACCACCATCACCACCACCACCACCACCCCCACCACCACCACCACCACCCACCACCACCACCACTCCCACCACCACCACCACCACCTCCACCACCACCACCACCACTCCCACCACCACCACCACCACCACCCACCCCCACCACCACCACCACCCCCACCACCACCACCACCACCACTCCCACCACCACCACCACCACCCACCACCCACCACCACCACCACTCCCACCACCACCACCACCACCACCTCCACCACCACCACCCACCACCCACCACCACCACCACCCCCACCACCACCACCACCACCCCCACCACCTCCACCACCACCACCTCCACCACCACCACCACCCACCACCCACCACCACCACCCACCACCACCACCCACCACCCACCACCACCACCACCACTCCCACCACCACCACCACCACCACCACCACCCTCACCACCACCCCCACCACCACCACCCCCACCACCACCACCACCACCCTCACCACCACCACCACCCACCACCCACCACCACCACCCACCACCACCACCACCACCTCCACCACCACCACCACCACCCACCACCCACCACCCACCACCACCACCACTCCCACCACCACCACCACCTCCACCACCACCACCACTCCCACCACCACCACCACCACCCTCACCACCACCACCACCACTCCCACCACCACCACCACCACCCTCACCTTGTAGACTGTACCAAATGCTCCATCCCCCAACTCTCCCACTGTTGTCCACGACTCTGCGGGGTTTTCCGTCCGTCTCAGCTGGGGGTGCTTTGTGCGCTTCCTACCCCCCAGGAGTCGATTCATCATGGCCAGGGCCGTGCACCTAGCCTGGCACAGCAGCAACAACAACAACAGCAGCAGCAGCAGCAGCAAAAACAACAACAAAATCGAGGGTCAGAGAGAGCTCAGGCTCACAACAAAACGAGCGGCCGGGCGGATAAAGCGCCTGGTGTACCTAGCCTGGCACAGCAGGTGGGGCGAGGAGGGAGGGGGGGTGGCTACAGCTGATTGTGCATCTACCGCTCACGTGACTCGGTCGACCACGTGACCTCCAGGTGTACCTAGCCTGGCACACGCGCTTGGGGTTATGTTGGCTAGGTGTGTGTGTGTAGGTGTGTGTGTAGGTGTGTGTGTAGGTGAGTGTGTGTATAGGTGTATGTGTGTGTAGGTGTGTGTGTGTGTAGGTGTGTGTAGGTGTGTGTGTAGGTGTGTGTAGGTGTGTGTGTGTAGGTGTGTGTGTAGGTGTGTGTGTGTGTAGGTGTGTGTGTAGGTGTGTGTGTAGGTGTGTGTGTAGGTGTGTGTGTGCAGGTGTGTGTGTGTGTAGGTGTGTGTGTAGGTGTGTGTGTGTAGGTGTGTTTGTCTGTTTGTCTACAGGTGTGTGTGTCTATAGGTGTGTGTGTGTATGACTACAGGTGTGTGTGTCTGTGTGTCTACAAGTGTGTGTGTGTGTGTAGGTGTGTGTGTATGACTACAGGTGTGTGTGTGTCTACAGGTGTAGGTGTGTGTGTCTACAGGTGTGTGTGTGTGACTATAGGTGTGTGTGTAGGTGTGTGTGTGTAGGTGTGTGTGTGTATGACTACAGGTGTGTGTGTGTGTGACTATAGGTGTTTGTGTGTGTGTCTATAGGTGTGTGTGTCTATAGGTGTGTGTGTGTGTAGGTGTGTGTGTGTATGACTACAGGTCTGTGTGTGTGTCTACAGGTGTAGGTGTGTGTAGGTGTGTGTGTCGGTGTGTGTGTAGGTGTGTGTGTAGGTGTGTGTGTAGGTGTGTGTGTAGGTGCGTGTGTAGGTGTGTGTGTAGGTGTAGGTGTGTGTGTAGGTGTGTGTGTGTAGGTGTGTGTTGGTGTGTGTGTAGGTGTGTGTGTAGGTGTGTGTGTGCAGGTGTGTGTGTAGGTGTGTGTGTGTGTAGGTGTGTGTGTGCAGGTGTGTGTGTAGGTGTGTGTGTGTAGGTGTGTGTAGGTGTGTCTGTGTAGGTGTGTGTGTAGGTGTGTGTGTGCAGATGTTTGTAGGTGTGTGTGTGTGTAGGTGTGTGTGTGTAGTGTGTGTAGGTGTGTGTGTAGGTGTGTGTGTAGGTGTGTGTGTGTAGGTGTGTGTGTGTGCAGGTGTGTGTAGGTGTGTGTGTGGAGGTGTGTGTGTGTAGGTGTGTGTGTAGGTGTGTGTGTAGGTGTGTGTGTAGGTGTGTTTGTCTGTGTGTCTACAGGTGTGTGTGTGTAGGTGTGTGTGTCTATAGGTGTGTGTGTGTATGACTACAGGTGTGTGTGTGTCTATTGGTGTGTGTGTGTAGGTGTGTGTGTGTGTAGGTGTGTGTGTGTCTACAGGTGTAGGTGTGTGTGTCTACAGGTGTAGGTGTGTGTGTCTACAGGTGTGTGTGTGTGTCTATTGGTGTGTGTGTGTAGGTGTGTGTGTATGACTACAGGTGTGTGTGTGTCTACAGGTGTAGGTGTGTGTGTCTACAGGTGTGTGTGTGTGTCTATTGGTGTGTGTGTGTAGGTGTGTGTGTATGACTACAGGTGTGTGTGTGTCTACAGGTGTAGGTGTGTGTGTCTACAGGTGTGTGTGTGTGTGACTATAGGTGTGTGTAGGTGTGTGTGTAGGTGTGTGTGTGTATCACTACAGGTGTGTGTGTGACTATAGGTGTTTTGGTTTGTGTGTGTGTCTATAGGTGTGTCTGTGTGTCTATTGGTGTGTGTGTGTAGGTGTGTATGTATGACTACAGGTCTGTGTGTGTGTCTACAGGTGTAGGTGTGTGTGTGTGTCTACAGGTGTGTGTGTGTGACTATAGGTGTGTGTGTAGGTGTGTGTGTGTATGACTACAGGTGTGTGTGTGTGTGACTATAGGTGTTTGTGTGTCTGTGTATCTATAGGTGTGTGTGTGTAGGTGTGTGTGTGTATGACTACAGGTGTGTGTGTGTGTCTATAGGTGTGTGTGTGTCTATAGGTGTGTGTGTGTAGGTGTGTGTGTATGACTACAGGTGTGTGTGTCTATAGGTGTGTTTGTGTGTCTGTGTGTCTATAGGTGTGTGTGTGTCTATAGGTGTGTGTGTGTGTAGGTGTGTGTGTATGACTATAGGTGTGTGTGTGTGTCTATAGGTGTGTGTGTGTGTCTATAGGTGTGTGTGTAGGTGTGTGTGTATGACTATAGGTGTGTGTGTGTGTCTATAGGTGTGTGTGTAGGTGTGTGTGTGTAGGTGTGTGTGTGTATGACTACAGGTGTGTGTGTGTGACTATAGGTGTTTGTGTTTGTGTGTCTGTGTGTCTATAGGTGTGTGTGTGTAGGTGTGTGTGTGTATGACTACAGGTGTGTGTGTGTCTATAGGTGTGTGTGTGTGTGTCTATAGGTGTGTGTGTGTAGGTGTGTGTGTGTGTATGACTATAGGTATGTGTGTGTATGACTACAGGTTACATATTTCAGTCGTGGTTTCGTGCATAAAATGTTGAAGTTGGAGGGGTTACCAGCCCCTCGCACCCGTCCAGAGCCCCCGTTTAGCCCCTGGTGTGGTCACAGACCCCACGAGAGGTGAGGGCCAATCGGAATTGGCCCTGAAAGAACTGCCCCATGACCTCCTGCCAGCGGGCGTTCGACGCTTCACGTGGCCTCAAGGTGCACGTGGCCTGGCACAAGCGTCGTGGTGACGTCACCGCCACTTAGTGGCGAATGGCGGTTGTTGTTGTTGTGTGTTAGTGTGTGTGTGTATAGGTGTGTGTGTGTGTATGTGTGTGTGTGTCTATAGTTGTGTGTGTGTGTATAGTTGTGTGTGTGTCGCTGTGTATATCCGTGTTTGTGACTCCAATTACGTATGCCTATAGGTATGTGTGAGTCTACAGGAATGTGTGTAGGTGTGTGTGTAGCTGTGTGTGTGTAGGTGTGTGTGTAGGTGTGTGTAGGTGTGTGTGTAGGTGTGTGTAGGTGTGTGTGTGTGTAGGTGTGTGTGTAGGTGTATGTGTAGGTGTGTGTGTGTGTAGGTGTGTGTGTAGGTGTGTGTGTGTAGGTGTGTGTGTGTAGGTGTGTGTGTAGGTGTGTGTAGGTGTGTGTGTAGGTGTGTGTGTAGGTGTGTGTGTGTGTAGGTGTGTGTGTGTGTTGGTGTGTGTGTAGGTGTGTGTGTAGGTGTGTGTAGGTGTGTGTAGGTGTGTGTGTAGGTGTAGGTGTGTGTGTAGGTGTGTAGGTGTGTGTGTTGGTGTGTGTGTAGGTATAGGTGTGTATAGGTGTGGGTGTTGGTGTGTGTAGGTGTGTGTAGGTTTGTGTAGGTGTGTATGTGTGTAGGGGTGTAGGTGTGTGTAGGTGTGTAGGTGTGTGTGTAGGTGTGTAGGTGTGTGTGTTGGTGTGTGTGTAGGTGTAGGTGTGTATAGGTGTGGGTGTTGGTGTGTGTAGGTGTGTGTAGGTGTGTGTAGGTGTGTGTGTGTAGGGGTGTAGGTGTGTGTAGGTGTGTAGGTGTGTGTGTAGGTGTGTGTAGGTGTGTGTGTTGGTGTGTGTAGGTGTGTGTGCAGGTGTGTGTAGGTTTGTGTGTAGGTGTGTGTGTAGGTGTGTGTAGGTGTGTAGGTGTGTGTATAGGTGTGTGTATAGGTGTGGTGTAGGTGTGTGTGTAGGTGTGTGTGTAGGTGTGTGTGTAGATGTGTGTGTAGGTGTCTGTAGGTGTGTATGTGTCTCTGTGTGTAGGTGTGTGTAGGTGTGTAGGTGTGTGTGTAGGTGTGTGTGTGTTGGTGTGTGTGTGTTGGTGTGTGCGTAGGTGTAGGTGTGTATAGGTGTGGGTGTAGGTGTTTGTAGGTGTGTGTGTAGGTGTGTGTGTAGGTGTGTGTGTAGGTGTGTGTATAGGTGTGTGTAGGTTTTCTGGGTGTGTCGGTGTGTGTGTAGGTGTGTGTAGGTGTGTGTGTGTGTAAGTGTGTGTGTAGGTGTGTGTGTGTCTGTAGGTACGTGCGTGTGTGTCTGTCTGTGTGTCTGTGTGTGTCTGTGTGTGTGTGTGTGTGTCTGTGTGTGTGTGTGTCTGTGTGTGTCTGTGTGTGTGTGTCTGTGTGTGTGTCTGTGTGTGTGTCTGTGTGTGTGTGTGTGTCTGTGTGCGACTAATTAAGTACCTCTCAGTTTGCCTGTTGATCCGTCTCCACGTGTCTCTCTCTCTCTGTGAGTGTCTCTGTGTGTCTCTCTGTGAGTATCTCTGTCTCTCAGTGAGTGTCTCTGTGTCTCTGCGAGTGTCTCTCTCTGTGTCTCTGTGAGTGTCTCTGTGTGTGTCTCTGTGTGTCTCTCTGTGAGTGTCTCTGTGAGTGTTTCTCTGTGTGTGTGTCTCTCTATCTGTGTGTCTCTCTCTCTGTGTGTCTCTGTGAGTGTCTCTGTGTCTCTGTGAGTGTCTCTGTGTCTCTGTGAGTGTCTCTGTGTGTGTCTCTGTGTGTGTCTCTGTGAGTGTCTCTGTGTCTCTGTGAGTGTCTCTGTGTGTGTCTCTGTGAGTGTCTCTGTGAGTGTCTCTGTGTGTGTGAGTGTCTCTGTGAATGTCTCTGTGTCTCTGTGAGAGTCTCTGTGTGTGTCTCTGTGTCTCTGTGAGTCTCTCTGTGTCTCTGTGAGAGTCTCTGTGTCTCTCTGTGAGTGTCTCTGTGAGTGTCTCTGTGAGTCTCTCTGTGAGTGTCTCTCTGTGTCTCTGTGAGTGTCTCTGTGTCTCTGTGTGTGTCTCTGTGAGTGTCTCTGTGTCTCTGTGAGTCTCTCTCTGTGTCTCTGTGAGTGTCTCTGTGAGTGTCTCTCTGTGTCTCTGTGAGTCTCTCTCTGTGTCTCTCTGTGTCTCTGTGTCTCTGTGAGTGTCTCTGTGTCTCTGTGAGAGTTTCTGTGTCTCTCTGTGTCTCTGTGAGTGTCTCTGTGTCTCTGTGAGTGTCTCTGTGTCTCTGTGAGTGTCTCTGTGTCTCTGTGTGTGTCTCTGTGAGTGTCTCTGTGTCTCTGTGTCTCTGTGAGTCTCTCTCTGTGTCTCTGTGAGTGTCTCTGTGAGTGTCTCTCTGTGTCTCTGTGAGTCTCTCTCTGTGTCTCTGTGTCTCTGTGAGTGTCTCTGTGTCTCTGTGAGAGTCTCTGTGTCTCTCTGTGTCTCTGTGAGTGTCTCTGTGTCTCTGTGAGTGTCTCTGTGTCTCTGTGAGTGTCTCTGTGTCTCTGTGAGTCTCACTTCCTTGCTCTCTCCCTCATCTCCCTGCACCGCGCCCAAAACGAAGACGGTGGCGAGGCGGCGGCTGGCTACAAATCCTGTTCGACCAGAGACGATCACCACTCTGTTCCCCTCCCCCCACACACACACACAGACACACACACAGACACACATCTACAAACACACATACACACACCCATACATACATACATCTACATACACACATACACACACAGACACACACACACACACACAGACACACATACACACACACAGACACACATACACACATCTACATACACACACACACATACACACAGACACACACACATCTACATACACACAGACACACATCTACACACACACCTACATACACACACACACATACAGACACACATACATACACACACACACATCTACATACACACAGACACACACACAGACACACATCTACATACACACATACACACACCCATACACACATACATCTACATACACACATACACACACAGACACACACACACAGACACACACACAGACACACATACACACATCTACATACACACACACACATACACACACATACACACAGACACACACACACATCTACATACACACAGACACACATCTACACACACACCTACACACACACACATACAGACACACATACATACACACACACACATCTACATACACACAGACACACACACAGACACACATACACCTACACACATCTACATACACACACACACCTACACACATCTACATACACACATACACATCTACACACATCTACATACACACACACACACCTACACACACACATACATACACACACACATCTACATACACACAGACACACATACACACACACCTACATACACACATACATACACACACACACCTACATACACACAGACACACACACACATACACACACACCTACACACATACACACAGACACACACACATACACACAGACACACACACATACACACATACACACACACACCTACATAAACACATACACACCTACACACATCTACATACACATACACACATACACACACATACATACACCCACACAGACACACACACACACATACACCTACATACACACATACATACGCACATCTACATACACACACACCTACACACATACACACACACATACACACACACAGACACACACACACAGACACACATACACATCTACATACACATACACACATACATACACACACAGACACACACACAGACACACATACACCTACACACATCTACATACACACACACACACATACACACACATACACACATACATACACACACCTACATACACACATACACACACACACATCTACATACACACAGACACACACACAGACACACACACATACACACACACAGACACACACACAGACACACATACACACATACACAGACACACACACCTACATACACACATACACACACACATCTACATACACACAGACACACACACAGACACACACACATACACACACAGACACACACACAGACACACATACACACACATACAGACACACATACACCTACATACACACATACATACACACACACCTACATACACACAGACACACACACACACATACACACACACCTACACACATACACAATAAACACATACACACAGACACACACACATACACACACATACACACACACACACCTACATACACACATACATACATACACACACACATCTACATACACACAGACACACACACACATACATACACCCACACAGACACACACACACCTACATACACACATACACACCTACACACATCTACATACACATACACACATACACACACATACATACACCCACACAGACACACACACACACATACACCTACATACACACATACATACACACATCTACATACACACACACCTACACACATACACACACACATACACACACACAGACACACACACACAGACACACATACACATCTACATACACATACACACATACATACACACACAGACACACACACAGACACACATACACCTACACACATCTACATACACACACACACCTACACACATCTACATACACACACACACACATACACACACATACACACATACATACACACACACACCTACATACACACATACACACACACACATCTACATACACACAGACACACACACACAGACACACACACATATACACACACACAGACACACACACAGACACACATACACACATACACAGACACACACACACCTACATACACACATACACACACACATCTACATACACACAGACACACACACAGACACACACACATACACACACACAGACACACACACAGACACACATACACACACACACAGACACACACACACACACACATACACACACACCTACACACATACACACAGACACACACACATACACACAGACACACACACATACACACACACATCTACATACACACAGACACACACACACACATACACACACACCTACACGCATACACACAGACACACACACATACACACACATACACACACACACAGACACACACACACATACACACATCTACATACACACACAGACACACACACACATCTACATACACACACACAGACACACATACACACATACACACACACATCTACATACACAGACACACACATACACACATCTACATACACATCTACATACATCTACATACACATCTACATACATCTACATACACATACATACAGACACACACACACCTACACACATACACTCACATACATCTACATACACACACATACACACATACACACATACAGACATACACACACACAGACACACAGACACACAGACACACATACACACAGACACACATACACACACATACACACATACACACACATCTACATACACAGACACAGACCTACATGCACACACACACAGACACACACACAGACACACATACACACACCTACACACATCTACATACACACACAGACATACACACACACAGACACACACATCTACATACACACACACACATACAACTACACATCTACATACACACACATACATACACACATACATACACACACACATACAGACACACACACAGACACACACATCTACATACACACACATACATACACACATACACCTACACACATACATACACACACACATCTACATACACACATACACACATACATACACCTACACACATACACCTACACACATACACCTACACACATACACCTACACACATACACCTACACACATACACCTACACACATACACCTACACACATACACCTACACACATACACCTACACACATACACCTACACACATACACCTACACACATACACCTACACACATACACCTACACACATACACCTACACACATACACCTACACACATACACCTACACACATACACCTACACACATACACCTACACACATACACCTACACACATACACCTACACACATACACCTACACACATACACCTACACACATACACCTACACACATACACCTACACACATACACCTACACACATACACCTACATATACATACACACACATCTACATACACACACATCTACATACACACACATCTACATACACAAAGATCCCCCATATAGCCTTAACAGACTGTTGGGGCAAGTGCTGTTAGCGAGCACCTATGAAGGCCGGAACGGTACACGAGGGGGTGGGTGGCCAGCACCACGCCCGACCGCCTTTGTCTCCCTAGTGGCAATGTTTACACACCGCACCAGGTACTCATTTGAGGCTGAGTCGACCTAGGGGAGGCCCGGGACCGGTTCAGATAATCGTCACTGGTGTTGTCCGTGAGCGGGAATCGAACCCGGGTCGCCAGGTTCATAGCGCCGCGCGCTAACCGCTACACTATCGCTCCCCATACACACATACATACACACACACAGACACACACACACACATACACACATACATACACACATACATACACACACACACACATACACATCTACATACACACAACAACAACAACAACCGCCATTCGCCACTAAGTGGCGGTGACGTCACCACGACGCTTGTGCCAGGCTATGTGCACCCTGAGGCCACGTGAAGTGTCGAACGCCCGCTGGCAGGAGGTCACGGGGCAGACCCAGGTGCCACGGGTCGACTGACTGAGATGACTGGCTGATGCACCACCTGTGCCCCCTACTGTGCCAACCTGCTGTGCTTTAGCCACCCGGCGCTCCGCTCGCTGTTGTGAGCGTCGCTCCTCCGCCCTCCGTTGTTGTTGGAGGGCGACTGCCTCCAACTGCCCAGTAGCATCCTTCACGAGCCTCCTCCACAGAGGCCGATCTTGACACCGCTGGTACCAGTCATCGGCAAGTCCACTCAGCTCCACGTCCTCCTGTACCACATCACTCCATCTCTTCTCTAGCCCGTGCCGCGCCCGCTTAGCCCCCTCAATCCGGCCAAACAAAAGCTGTTTCGGCATGCGGTGGCTGGGCATGCGGGCTACATGACCCAGCCATCGCAGCCTTGCCTGCCGGAGGAGCTCACCGATGGGACCCTGCCCAGATCTTTCAAGGATTTGTGAGCTCCTCACACAATCCAGTCTGGTTAAACCCAGGATGGATCGTAGGCAGGCCAGCCTAAATGTTTCTAACCGGCGAAGATGTTCCATTAGGGGGGTCCACGTTTCGCAAGCGTAGAGAAGGGAGGGAATGACCGTGGCCGAGAAGACCTGAAGCTTAGTGCGGAGCGACAGACCAGGTAGCTTCCACACAGCGTTACGCAACCGATGAAAAGATATTGCCGCTCGACTGATTCGGAGTGAGACCTCTGCTGTTAAACTGGAGCCAGTCATAAGCACACTGCCCAGGTATGGGAAACTCTCCACTCTCTCCACAACTGCCCCATCACCGATTGGGAGTTGTGGGGGTGGAGTGTCTGATGGTACAAAATACCCAGGCAGGTGCTTAGTTTTGGTGGGGCTGATGGTAAGGCCCCACCTCTTAGTGGCACGCTCCAGTCTCAGCAGCAGCGTCTCCAACTCCTCCTCTGACTGAGCAGCTATTACCAAATCATCAGCATACATAACGTGGTTGAACAATAGGGAGCCATCCCTTGACCGCACCCGGGCATCGATCAGCCTCCCATTATATCTGTACCATATGGAGATTCCCCCGGTACAGCTATTGAAGGCTTCACAAACTACGTGGTCAAAATAGATGTTAAATAATGTGGGAGCCAGAGGACATCCCTGTCGCACCCCAAGGTGTACAGGAAATGGCTCTGACTCCCGGCCACGTAGTTTTACCCGGGCCCGCTCACCATCATGAAGGTCCTTAATGATCGTGAGCAGAGGGTCAGGTACTCCAAAAGCACGAAGAACGACCCAGAGCCTAGGCCTACTGATGGTATCATAGGCCTTGACCAGGTCAATAAAGCAGAGATGTAGGTCTTGTTGGAATTCCCTACACCTCTGCTGTAGCAGACGGACAGAAAATATGGCATCTGTGCAGGACCGCCCTTTCCTGAAACCGCATTGGGGCTCCGCAAGCCTCTCCTCAGCGTGCCTGGCAAGGCGATGCTGAATAATCCTTGCCAGGACCTTTCCCGGCACACTGAGGAGTGAGATGCCCCTGTAGTTGTTACAGTCTGTGCGGTCCCCCTTCTTAAAAAGAGGGACCACCAGGGCATCCTTCCAATCCTGCGGAACCCGTCCAGTGGTCCAGACTGTTGTTATGATGTCATATAGGGCAGTCTGTGCACAAACGCCACCCTCCCTCAGCATGTCGCTTGGGAGATCATCTCTGCCCGCTGCCTTTCCTGGTCTCAGACTCCGGATCGCCTTCAGTACTTCCTCAACAGATGGCACCTCAGCCAGCCACTCACAGGGGGTGACTTCTTCCAATATTTGAGGCACCGCAGCCTCAGCAGGGTCATCCTCACTTTGTGCCACGATGTTTTCCTGGCTGAGGGATTTTCCCTCCCCCAGGACCTCACAGAAATGCTCAGCAAATCTGCGAACCTGTTCCTGGGGGTCGGAGATTGGATCACCGTTTTTTCCCCTAATGATGGTAATAGGTGTGGCGCTGCAGGTTACTTTTTTGATGGAGTTAAATAGAGATTTGTGATCACGGGCCACTGAGGCAGACTCCATCTCCTCAGCAACCCGCGACCACCACCCATCCTTGCAGCGCCTCACGGCTCTCCGAACCTCCGAGCGAAGGCTGCGGTAAGCCTCCTCATTCTCTGACGTGGAATTCTATAGCCGATGACAGTGGGCCTGTCGCTTTTTCTCAACCATCCTGAACACCTCCTCTGTCAGCCAGGGTCTCTGGGGAGGTCTGGACCGCGTACCTAAAGCAGCCATTGCAGCTGCATGAGTCACAGTCCTAAACCTCGCCCATTTACCCTCGACATCAGGAGGAGTCGGGGACGATGCCAATCCCAGCCGCAGGCAATGATGAAATTCTCGCTTGCAACTTTCATCAGATAACTGAGACCAGGCCACTTTAGGTTGGAATGGGGTCCTGGGTGTACACCCACCACCGGAGTGGAAGAATGGCAGGCGCATCTTACAGATGACTAGTCGATGGTCAGAGGGCAGATCAGCTCCACGGTAGGTCCTGGTGTCAAGGACATGGGCTCGCATCCACTGGTCCGTCACTATGTAGTCCAGCAGATGTTCTTGCTTGGACCCGGCATGCATCCATTATGTTTTGTGGATGCGCCAATGCCGGAACAGCGTGTTGGTAATTACAAGCCAATGGGCTGCACAAAAATCTAGCAGCCTCCTACCGTTGTTATTGAGCTGATCTGGCCCATGCCCTCCAATCACTCCAGACCAGGTGCCAGCATCATGACCAACTCGGGCATTGAAGCCACCCAACATGATGACTCTATCCCGAGGGGCCACTTTAGCCACCACCTGTGACAGGAGGTCATAGAAGGCATCTGACTCATCGGCTTTGCCTGCATCCCTCCACGGATGTTCATCTTCGGTGGGGGCATAAGTAACCACGACCACCATTCCTCGCTTCCGGTTGATGGGAAGGCGAGCCCAAAGTAGCCTAGGGCTTACAGCTTCCCACACCTCACCGCCATGCTCCCACGCCCCCTTCATTCATTTGTTCAAAAGAAGAGCCACACCCTGTTGTTTGGCAGTCTGCTGCCCCGAGTAGAGGACTGTCCACCCCTCATGGTGGCAGGAGCCAGAACCGGTCCACCGGACCTCCTGAATGCCACAGAGATCCAGGCGGTACCGGTCCAGCTCCCGACAGAGGAGTGGCAGCCTCTCCTCCGCAGTGAGCGTTCGAACATTCCACGTGGCCACCCGTAGTGTTTTTCGTTGTTTCTGGAGGAGCCCCGAGGGTAGATATTCAGTCTCCTGGCTCCGCCAATTGGGGTTTGGCCAGGAGACGTCATAGACGCCTGGCCCCCTGGGGCCTCCGGCACAAGCATATTAGTTACATATTTCAGTCGTGGTTTAATGGTAGTTTATTGAAGGTGAAGGGGTTACCAGCCCCTCGCACCCGTCCAGAGCCCCCGTTTAGCCTCTGTGGTGGACACAGATCCCATGAGGGGAGGAGCCAATCGAAATTGGACCTCCTCCCACAGCATTGTCCACGACAGAGTTGCCCGTCCGGCACCGCGAGGAGACACACACACCTATATACACACACACAAACATACACACATACACCTACACACACATCTACATACACACATACACACACATACAAAAACAACCGCCATTCGCCACTAAGTGGCGGTGACGTCACCACGGCGCTTGTGCCAGGCTATGTGCACCCTGAGGCCACGTGAAGTGTCGAACGCCCGTTGGCAGGAGGTCACGGGGCAGACCCAGGTGCCACGGGTCGACTGACTGAGATGACTGGCTGATGCACCACCTGTGCCCCCTACTGTGCCAACCTGCTGTGCTTTAGCCACCCGGCTCTCCGCTCGTTGTTGTGAGCGTCGCTCCTCCGCCCTCCGTTGTTGTTGGAGGGCGACTGCCTCCAACTGCCAAGTAGCGTCCTTCACGAGCCTCCTCCACAGAGGCCGATCTTGCCACCGCTGGTACCAGTCATCGGCAAGTCCACTCAGCTCCACGTCCTCCTGTACCACATCACTCCATCTCTTCTCTAGCCCGTGCCGCGCCCGCCTAGCCCCCTCAATCCGGCCGAACAAAAGCTGTTTCGGCATGCGGTGGCTGGGCATGCGGGCTGCATGACCCAGCCATCGCAGCCTTGCCTGCCGGAGCTCACCGATGGGACCTTGCCCAGATCTTTCAAGGATGTGTGAGCTCCTCACACAATCCAGTCTGGTTAAACCCAGGATGGATCGTAGGCAGGCCAGCCTAAATGTTTCTAACCGGCGAAGATGTTCCATTAGGGGGGTCCACGTTTTGCAAGCGTAGAGAAGGGAGGGAATGACCGTGGCCGAGAAGACCTGAAGCTTAGTGCGGAGCGACAGACCAGGTAGCTTCCACACAGCGTTATGCAACCGATGAAAAGATATTGCCGCTCGACTGATTCGGAGCGAGACCTCTGCTGTTAAACTGGAGCCAGTCATAAGCACACTGCCCAGGTATGGGAAACTCTCCACTCTCTCCACAACTGCCCCATCACCGATTGGGAGTTGTGGGGGTGGAGTGTCCGATGGTACAAAATACCCAGGCAGGTGCTTAGTTTTGGTGGGGCTGATGGTAAGGCCCCATCTCTTAGTGGCACGCTCCAGTCCCAGCAGCAGCGTCTCCAACTCCTCCTCTGACTGAGCAGCTATTACCAAATCATCGGCATACATAACGTGGTTGAGCAATAGGGAGCCATCCCTTGACCACACCCGGGCATCGATCAGCCTCCCATTATATCTGTACCAAATGGAACCCACGACCTCCTGCGTACCAGGCGAGGTAGTCAACATCTCACCTAGGCCACTGTGGGGTCAGGAATGGAACCCACGACCTCCTGCGCACCAGGCGAGGTAGTCAACATCTCCTGTCCAAACTGGTGCATGGACACTCACAGAGACGCTTTGTGGTTGGAAGCGGTGACAATGTGTATTTATTAAAATGACACTTTAAACACGTAACCTGTGGAGCGGCATGTTAGGGTGATTAATTAAGCCATCGCTCCCCACAATATCTAGTAATTTATATATGTTAATATTTAAACAAACGAATACAAGGCGCAGCGTATAACGGTAGTGACGCTGTGTTTATAACGGTAGTGACGCTGGGTTTATAACGGTAGTGACGCTGTGTTTATAACTGTAGTGAGGCTGGGTTTATAACGGCAGTGACGCTGTGTTTATAACGGCAGTGACGCTGTGTTTATAACGGCAGTGACGCTGTGTTTATAACGGTAGTGACGCTGTGTTTATAACGGTAGTGACGCTGTGTTTATAACGGATACTGACGCTGGGTTTATAACGGTAGTGAAGCTGTGTTTATAACGGTAGTGACGCTGTGTTTATAACGGTAGTGACGCTGTGTTTATAACGGTAGTGACGCTGTGTTTATAACGGTAGTGATGCTGTGTTTATAACGGTAGTTATGCTGTGTTTATAACGGAAGTGACGCTGGGTTTATAACGGTAGTGACGCTGTGTTTATAACGGATACTGACGCTGGGTTTATAACGGTAGTGACGCTGTGTTTATAACGGTAGTGACGCTGTGTTTATAACGGATACTGACGCTGTGTTTATAACGGTAGTGGCGCTGGGTTTATAACGGTAGTGACGCTGTGTTTATAACGGGTAGTGACGCTGTGTTTATAACGGTAGTGACGCTGTGTTTATAACGGTAGTGACGCTGTGTTTATAACGGTAGTGACGCTGTGTTTATAACGGTAGTGACGCTGTGTTTATAACGGTAGTGACGCTGTGTTTATAACGGTAGTGTCGCCGTGTTTATAACGGTAGTGACGCTGGGTTTATAACGGTAGTGACGCTGTGTTTATAACGGATACTGACGCTGTGTTTATAACGGTAGTGACGCTGGGTTTATAACGGTAGTGACGCTGTGTTTATAACGGTAGTGACGCTGTGTTTATAACGGTAGTGACGCTGTGTTTATAACGGTAGTGACGCTGTGTTTATAACGGTAGTGACGCTGTGTTTATAACGGTAGTCACGCTGTGTTTATAACGGTAGTGACGCTGTGTTTATAACGGTAGTGACGCTGGGTTTATAACGGTAGTGACGCTGGGTTTATAACGGTAGTGACGCTGTGTTTATAACCGTACTGACGCTGTGTTTATAACGGTAGTGACGCTGTGTTTATAACGGTAGTGACGCTGTGTTTATAACGGTAGTGAGGCTGTGTTTATAACGGTAGTGACGCTGTGTTTATAACGGTAGTGACACTGTGTTTATAACGGTAGTGACGCTGTGTTTATAACGGTAGTGACGCTGTGTTTATAACGGTAGTGACGCTGTGTTTATAACGGTAGTGACGCTGTGTTTATAACGGTAGTGACACTGTGTTTATAACGGTAGTGAGGCTGGGTTTATAACGGTAGTGACGCTGTGTTTATAACGGTAGTGACGCTGTGTTTATAACGGTAGTGACGCTGTGTTTATAACGGTAGTGACGCTGTGTTTATAACGGTAGTGACGCTGGGTTTATAACGGTAGTGACACTGTGTTTATAACGGTAGTGACGCTGGGTTTATAACGGTAGTGACGCTGTGTTTATAACTGTAGTGACACTGGGTTTATAACGGTAGTGACGCTGTGTTTATAACGGTAGTGACGCTGTGTTTATAACGGTAGTGACGCTGTGTTTATAACCGTACTGACGCTGGGTTTAAAATGGTAGTGACGCTGTGTTTATAACGGTAGTGACGCTGTGTTTATAACGGTAGTGACGCTGTGTTTATAACGGTAGTGGCGCTGGGTTTATAACGGTAGTGACGCTGGGTTTATAACGGTAGTGACGCTGGGTTTATAACGGTAGTGACGCTGTGTTTATAACGGTAGTGACGCTGTGTTTATAACCGTACTGACGCTGGGTTTAAAATGGTAGTGACGCTGTGTTTATAACGGTAGTGACGCTGTGTTTATAACGGTAGTGACGCTGTGTTTATAACGGTAGTGACGCTGTGTTTATAACGGTAGTGACGCTGGTGGCGTTCCGGTCGTCAGGGACTGTCCCGATCTTCCTCCTCTCCTCCCCATCCTTCCCGCCTCTCCGATTCCCCTTCCCGTCGCCTGTTCCGATCTTCCTCCGCCTCTCCCCATGGCTCCCGTCTCTCCGATTCTCCCTCCCGCCCCTCCGACGATTCCCCTTCCCGTCGCCTGTTCCGATCTTCCTCCGCCTCTCCCCATGGCTCCCGTCTCTCCGATTCTCCCTCCCGCCCCTCCGACGATTCCCCTTCCCGTCGCCTGTTCCGATCTTCCTCCGCCTCTCCCCATGGCTCCCGTCTCTCCGATTCCCCTTCCCGTCGCCTGTTCCGATCTTCCTCCGCCTCTCCCCATGGCTCCCGTCTCTCCGATTCCCCTTCCCGTCGCCTGTTCCGATCTTCCTCCGCCTCTCCCCATGGCTCCCGTCTCTCCGATTCTCCCTCCCGCCCCTCCGATTCTCCCTCCCGCCCCTCCGACGATTCCCCTTCTCGCCGCCCGTCCCATTCTTCCGGCACCCCCCGAAATCTCCCGCGTCTCTCCGACCCTCCTCCTCCTCCTCCTCCTCCTCCACCGCCTCCTCTGCCTCCTCCTCCTCCTCCGCCTCCTCCACCGCCTCCTCTGCCTCCTGCCTCGGGCCTCTGCCCGGAGCGCCCCAGGCCCGGCCGTGGGAACACGACGCCGGAGGCGCGACCACGCGCCCGGAGACGCTGGCGGTCGAAGCGGCGGAGGATCTCCAGGATCCGCCGTCGATTGGAGCGGGAGAGGTGAAAGTCGCAGGGAGAGGCTCCCATGTCATAGTCAACCTGGTGGTGGGTGGTTGGTGGGTGGTTGGGTGGGGGTGGTGGGTGGACGTGGTCACTAGGGGATACGTTACACTACACTATACACTACTATACTACTACTACACTATACACTACTACACTATACACTACTACACTATACACTACTATACTATACACTACACTATACACTACTACACTATACACTACTACACTATACACTACACTATACACTACTACACTATACACTACACTATACACTACTACACTATACACTACACTATACACTACACTACTATACACTACTATACTACTATACACTACACTACTACACTATACACTACTACACTACTATACTACTACTACACTATACACTACTACACTATACACTACACTATACACTACACTATACACTACTACACTATACACTACACTATACACTACTACTACACTATACACTACACTATACACTACTACACTATACACTACTACACTATACACTACTACTACACTATACACTACTACACTATACACTACTATACTACTATACACTACTATACACTACACTATACACTACTACACTATACACTACCACACTATACACTATACGCTATTACACTACACTATACACTACACTATACACTACTACTATAAACTACTACTATACACTACTACACCATACACTATACAATACACTACTACACTACACTATACACTACAACACTATACACTATTGCACTATACACTACTACACTACACTATACACTACACTATACACTACACTATACACTATATACTACACTATACACTACTACACTATACACTACTACTACTACTACACTATACATTACTATACTATTACCACACTACTACTACACTACACTACTACACTACACACTACTACACTACACTATACACTACACACTACTACACTACACACTACACTATACACTACACTACACACTACTACACTACTACACTACACTATACACTACTACACTATACACTACTACACTATACACTACTACAATATACACTACTACACTACTACACTATACACTACACTATACACTACTACACTATACACTACTACACTACACTATACACTACTACACTATACACTACTACACTACACTATACACTACACTATACACTACTACACTACACACTACACTATACACTACTACACTACACTATACACTACTACACTACACTATACACTACTACACTATACACTACTACACTACACTATACACTACTACACTATACACTACTATACTACACTATACACTATACACTACCACACTATACACTACTACACTATACACTACTACACTACACTATACACTACTACACTATACACTACTACACTATACACTACTACACTATACACTACTACACTACACTATACACTACTACACTATACACTACTACACTATACACTACTACACTACACTATACACTACTACACTATACACTACTACACTATACACTACTACACTACACTATACACTACACTATACACTACTACACTATACACTACTACACTATACACTACTACACTACACTATACACTACTACACTATACACTACTACACTACACTATACACTACTACACTATACACTACTACAGTACACTATACACTACACTATACACTACTACACTATACACTACACTATACACTACTACACTACACACTACACTATACACTACAATATACACTACTACACTATACACTACACTATACACTACTACACTATACACTACACTATACACTACTACACTACACTATACACTACTACACTATACACTACTACACTATACACTACTACACTATACACTACTACACTATACACTACACTATACACTACTACACTACACTATACACTACTACACTATACACTACTACACTATACACTACTACACTATACACTACTACACTATACACTACACTATACACTACTACACTATACACTACTACACTATACACTACTACACTATACACTACACTATACACTACTACACTATACACTACACTATACACTACTACACTATACACTACACTATACACTACTACACTATACACTACACTATACACTACTACACTATACACTACTACACTATACACTACTACACTATACACTACTACACTACACTATACACTACTACACTATACACTACTACACTACACTATACACTACTACACTATACACTACTACACTATACACTACTACACTACACTATACACTACTACACTATACACTACTACACTATACACTACACTATACACTACTACACTATACACTACTACACTACACTATACACTACTACACTATACACTACTACACTACTACACTACACTATACACTACTACACTATACACTACTACACTACACTATACACTACACTATACACTACTACACTATACACTACTACACTACACTATACACTACACTATACACTACTACACTATACACTACACTATACACTACTACACTATACACTACTACACTACACTATACACTACTACACTACACTATACACTACTACACTATACACTACTACACTACACTATACACTACTACACTATACACTACTACACTACACTATACACTACTACACTATACACTACTACACTACACTATACACTACTACACTACTACACTATACACTACTATACTATACACTACACTATACACTACTACACTATACACTACTACACTATACACTACACTATACACTACTACACTATACACTACACTATACACTACTACACTATACACTACACTATACACTACACTACTATACACTACTATACTACTATACACTACACTACTACACTATACACTACTACACTACTATACTACTACTACACTATACACTACTACACTATACACTACACTATACACTACACTATACACTACTACACTATACACTACACTATACACTACTACTACACTATACACTACACTATACACTACTACACTATACACTACTACACTATACACTACTACTACACTATACACTACTACACTATACACTACTATACTACTATACACTACTATACACTACACTATACACTACTACACTATACACTACCACACTATACACTATACGCTATTACACTACACTATACACTACACTATACACTACTACTATAAACTACTACTATACACTACTACACCATACACTATACAATACACTACTACACTACACTATACACTACAACACTATACACTATTGCACTATACACTACTACACTACACTATACACTACACTATACACTACACTATACACTATATACTACACTATACACTACTACACTATACACTACTACTACTACTACACTATACATTACTATACTATTACCACACTACTACTACACTACACTACTACACTACACACTACTACACTACACTATACACTACACACTACTACACTACACACTACACTATACACTACACTACACACTACTACACTACTACACTACACTATACACTACTACACTATACACTACTACACTATACACTACTACAATATACACTACTACACTACTACACTATACACTACACTATACACTACTACACTATACACTACTACACTACACTATACACTACTACACTATACACTACTACACTACACTATACACTACACTATACACTACTACACTACACACTACACTATACACTACTACACTACACTATACACTACTACACTACACTATACACTACTACACTATACACTACTACACTACACTATACACTACTACACTATACACTACTATACTACACTATACACTATACACTACCACACTATACACTACTACACTATACACTACTACACTACACTATACACTACTACACTATACACTACTACACTATACACTACTACACTATACACTACTACACTACACTATACACTACTACACTATACACTACTACACTATACACTACTACACTACACTATACACTACTACACTATACACTACTACACTATACACTACTACACTACACTATACACTACACTATACACTACTACACTATACACTACTACACTATACACTACTACACTACACTATACACTACTACACTATACACTACTACACTACACTATACACTATACACTACTACAGTACACTATACACTACACTATACACTACTACACTATACACTACACTATACACTACTACACTACACACTACACTATACACTACAATATACACTACTACACTATACACTACACTATACACTACTACACTATACACTACACTATACACTACTACACTACACTATACACTACTACACTATACACTACTACACTATACACTACTACACTATACACTACTACACTATACACTACACTATACACTACTACACTACACTATACACTACTACACTATACACTACTACACTATACACTACTACACTATACACTACTACACTATACACTACACTATACACTACTACACTATACACTACTACACTATACACTACTACACTATACACTACACTATACACTACTACACTATACACTACACTATACACTACTACACTATACACTACACTATACACTACTACACTATACACTACACTATACACTACTACACTATACACTACTACACTATACACTACTACACTATACACTACTACACTACACTATACACTACTACACTATACACTACTACACTACACTATACACTACTACACTATACACTACTACACTATACACTACTACACTACACTATACACTACTACACTATACACTACTACACTATACACTACACTATACACTACTACACTATACACTACTACACTACACTATACACTACTACACTATACACTACTACACTACTACACTACACTATACACTACTACACTATACACTACTACACTACACTATACACTACACTATACACTACTACACTATACACTACTACACTACACTATACACTACACTATACACTACTACACTATACACTACACTATACACTACTACACTATACACTACTACACTACACTATACACTACTACACTACACTATACACTACTACACTATACACTACTACACTACACTATACACTACTACACTATACACTACTACACTACACTATACACTACTACACTATACACTACTACACTACACTATACACTACTACACTACTACACTATACACTACTACACTATACACTACTACACTATACACTACTACACTACACTATACACTACTACACTACACTATACACTACTACACTATACACTACTACACTACACTATACACTACTACACTACACTATACACTACTACACTACACTACTACACTACACTATACACTACTACACTACACTATACACTATACACTACTACACTATACACTACTACACTATACACTACTACACTATACACTACTACACTACACTATACACTACCTGGCAGGTGCGGGTGACGCTGGTGAAGCCCTCAGCCCGCACGGTCACTTTGTACTCGCCAGGATTGAGCAGCCGGAAGTAGTCACCCATGGAGCCTGGGGGGGGTGGGGGGGGTGGACATGGTGGGGTTAACTAGCGTCTAACTAGCGTCTAACTAGTGTCTAACTAGTGTATAACTAGTGACTAACTAGTGTATAACTAGTGACTAACTAGTGTCTAACTAGTGACTGACTAGTGTATAACTAGTGACTAACTAGCGTCTAACTAGCATCTAACTAGTGACTAACTAGTGTATAACTAGTGACTAACTAGTGTATAACTAGTGACTAACTAGTGTCTAACTAGTGACTGACTAGTGACTGACTAGTGACTAACTAGCGTCTAACTAGCATCTAACTAGTGTCTAACTAGTGTATAACTAGTGACTAACTAGTGTATAACTAGTGACTAACTAGTGTCTAACTAGTGACTGACTAGTGACTGACTAGTGTCTAACTAGTGACTAACTAGCGACTAACTAGTGTCTAACCAGTGACTAACCAGTGTCTAACCAGTGACTAACTAGTGTCTAACTAGCGACTAACGAGTCACTAACTAGTGACCAACCAGTGACTAACTAGTGTACAACTAGTGTCTAACTAGTCACTAACTAGCGACTAACTAGTGTCTAACTAGTGACTAACTAGTGTCTAACTAGTGTCTAACTAGTGTCTAACTAGTCACTAACTAGTGTCTAACTAGTGACTAACTGGTGTCTAACTAGCCACTAACTAGTTACTAACTAGTGTATAACTAGTGACTAACTAGTCACCAGTTAGTCACTAACTAGTCACTAACTAGTGACTAACTAGTGTCTAACTAGTGACTAACTAGTCACTAACTAGTGACTTGCTAATGTCTAACTAGTGTCCAACTAGTGACTAACTAGTGACTAACTAGTGACTAACTAGTGTCTAACTAGTGACTAACTATTCACCAGTTAGTCGCTAACTAGTCACTAACTAATGACTAACTCGTGACTAACTAGTGTCTAACTAGTCACTAACTAGTGTCCAACTAGTGACTAACTAGTGTCCAACTAGTGACTAACTAGTGACTAACTAGTGACTAACTAGTGTCTAACTAGTGACTAACTATTCACCAGTTAGTCACTAACTAGTCACTAACGAGTGACTAACTAGTGTCTAACCAGTGTCCAACTAGTGACTAACTAGTGACTAACTAGCGACTAACTAGTGTCTAACTGGCGACTACCTAGTGTTTAACTAGTGTCTAACTAGTGACTAACTAGTCACTAGTTAGTCACTAACTAGTGACTAACTAGTGACTAACTAGTGACTAACTGGTGTCCAACTAGTGTCTAACTAGTCACTAACTAGTGTCTAACTAGTCACTAACTAGTGTCTAACTAGTGTCCAACTAGTGTCCAACTAGTGACTAACTAGTGACTAACTAGTGTCTAACTAGTGTCTAACTAGTGACTGACTAGTCATCAGTTAGTCGCTAACTAGTCACTAACTAGTGTCTAACTAGTGACTAACCAGTGTCTAACTAGCGACTAACTAGTGACTAACTAGTCACTAACTAGTGACTTGCTAATGTCTAACTAGTGTCCAACTAGTGACTAACTAGTGACTAACTAGTGTCTAACTAGTGACTAACTATTCACCAGTTAGTCGCTAACTAGTGTCTAACTAGTGTCTAACTAGTGTCCAACTAGTTACTAACTAGTGTCTAACTAGCCACTAACTAGTGTCTAACTAGTCACTAACTAGTGTCTAACTAGTCACTAACTAGTCACTAACTAGTGTCTAACTAGTGTCTAACTAGTCACTAGCTAGTGACTAACTAGTGACTAACTAGTCACTAACTAGTCACCAGTTAATCGCTAGCTAGTAACTAACTAGTGACTAACTAGTGACTAACTAGTGACTAACCAGTGACTAACTAGTCACTAACTAGTCACTAACTAGTGACTAACTAGTCACTAACTAGTCACTAACTAGAGACTAACTAGTGTCTAACTAGTGACTAACTAGTCACCAGTTAATCGCTAGCTAGTAACTAACTAGTGACTAACTAGTGACCAACTAGTGACCAACTAGTGACCAACTAGTGACTAACTAGTGACTAACTAGTGACTAACTAGTCACTAACTAGTGACTAGCTAGTGACTAATTAGTCACTAACTAGTGACTAACTAGACACTAACTAGTGACTAACTAGACACTAACTAGTGACTAACTAGTGACTAACTAGTGACTAACTAGTCACTAACTAGTGTCTAACTAGTGACTAACTAGTAACTAACTAGTGTCTAACTAGTGTCTAACTAGTCACTAACTAGTCACTAACTAGTGACTAACCAGTGACTAACTAGTGTCTAACTAGTGACTAGCTAGTGTCTAACTAGTGTCTATCCAGTGTCTAACTAGTGACTAACGAGCGACTAACCAGTGTCTAACTAGTCACTAACTAGTGACTAACTAGTGTCTAACTAGTCACTAACCAGTCACTAACTAGTGTCTAACTAGTGACTAACTAGTGACTAACTAGTCGCTAACTAGTGACTAACTAGTGACTAACTAGACACTAACTAGTGACTAACTAGTGACTAACTAGTGACTAACCAGTGGTCACATCATGGTCGATTTCTTCAACTCCCACAACGGCGTTTGGGACTCCGACTCCATCAGGGTCCAGAACCACTCCCTTGATGCCACGGTGAACCTAGGGGTCATGGGGGGGTCATGGAGAGGTCATGGAGGTCATGGGGGGTCATGGAGGTCATGGGGGGAGGAGTCATGGTGGTCATGGGGGGAGGAGTCATGGGGGTGATGGGGGGAGGAGTCATGGGGGTCATGGGGGGTCATGTGGTTCAAGGGGGGAGGAGTCATGGGGGTCATGGAGGGTCAAGGGGGTCATGGGGGTCATGGGGGTCATGGGGGGGGGGAGGGGGTCATGGGGGAGTTCGTGGGTGTATGAGTGAGTGTATGAGTGAGTGAGTGAGTGTATGAGTGAGTGTATGAGTGAGTGAGTGTATGAGTGAGTGTATGAGTGAGTGTGTGAGTGAGTGTGTGAGTGAGTGAGTGTATGAGTGAGTGTATGAGTGAGTGTGTGAGTGAGTGAGTGTATGAGTGTATGAGTGAGTGAGTGTATGAGTGAGTGAGTGTATGAGTGAGTGAGTGAGTGTATGAGTGAGTGTATGAGTGAGTGTGTGAGTGAGTGAGTGTATGAGTGAGTGTATGAGTGAGTGAGTGTATGAGTGAGTGTATGAGTGAGTGAGTGTATGAGTGAGTGTATGAGTGAGTGAGTGTATGAGTGAGTGAGTGAGTGTATGAGTGAGTGAGTGTATGAGTGAGTGAGTGAGTGTATGAGTGAGTGAGTCTATGAGTGAGTGTGTGAGTAAGTGAGTGCATGAGTGAGTGAGTGTGTGAGTGAGTGAGTGTATGAGTGAGTGTATGAGTGAGTGAGTGAGTGTATGAGTGAGTGAGTTAGTGTATGAGTTAGTGTATGAGTGAGTGTATGAGTGAGTGAGTGTATGAGTGAGTGTATGAGTGAGTGAGTGTTTGAGTGAGTGTATGAGTGAGTGTATGAGTGAGTGTATGAGTGAATGAGTGTATGAGTGAGTGTATGAGTGAGTGAGTGTATGAGTGAGTGTATGAGTGAGTGTATGAGTGAGTGAGTGTATGAGTGAGTGAGTGTATGAGTGTGTGAGTGAGTGTATGAGTGAGTGTATGAGTGTGTGAGTGAGTGTATGAGTTAGTGTATGAGTGAGTGTATGAGTGAGTGAGTGTGTGAGTGAGTGTATGAGTGAGTGAGTGTATGAGTGAGTGAGTGTATGAGTGAGTGCATGAGTGAGTGAGTGTATGTATGAGTGAGTGAGCCACTCAACTCACCACCCTCACTCACCCCTCACTCACCCCTCACTCACCCCTCACTCACCACCCTCACTCACCACCCACCACTCACCCCACACTCACCCCCACTCACCCCCCACTCACCCCTCTAACTCACCCCTCACTCACCCCTCACTCACCACCCTCACTCACCACCCTCACTCACCAACCACACTCACCCCTCACTCACCACCCTCACTCACCACCACCCTCACCACCACCCCCTCACCACCCACACTCACCCCACACTCACCACCCTCACTCACCACCCACACTCACCACCCACACTCACCACCCACACTCACCACCCACACTCACCACCCACCCACACTCACCACCCACACACTCACCACCCCCTCACCACCCACACTCACCACTCACCACCCACACTCACCACCCACACTCACCACCCACCCACACTCACCCCTCACTCACCACCCACTCACTCACCACCCACACTCACCACCACCCACCACTCACCACCCACACTCACCACCCCCACTCACCCCTCACTCACCACCCTCACTCACCACCCTCACTCACCACCCACACTCACCCCCCTCACACTCACCACCCACTCACCACCCTCACTCACCCCACCACTCACTCACCACTCACCCCTCATTCACTCACCACCCTCACTCACCACCCTCACTCACCACTCACCCCACACTCACCACCACTCACTCACCACCCCCTCACCACCCACACTCACCACTCACCACCCACACTCACCCCACTCACCCCCCTCACTCACCCACCACTCACCACCCACACTCACCACTCACCACTCACCACCACCCCACACACACTCACCCCACACTCACCACCCACACTCACCACCTTCACTCACCACCCCTCACTCACCACCCACACTCACCCCTAACTCACCACCCCACACTCACCACCCCACACTCACCAACAACAACAACAACCGCCATTCGCCACTAAGTGGCGGTGACGTCACCACGACGCTTGTGCCAGGCTATGTGCACCCTGAGGCCACGTGAAGTGTCGAACGCCCGCTGGCAGGAGGTCACGAGGCAGACCCAGGTGCCACGGGTCGACTGACTGAGATGACTGGCTGATGCACCACCTGTGCCCCCTACTGTGCCAACCTGCTGTGCTTTAGCCACCCGGCGCTCCGCTCGCTGTTGTGAGCGTCGCTCCTCCGCCCTCCGTTGTTGTTGGAGGGCGACTGCCTCCAACTGCCCAGTAGCATCCTTCACGAGCCTCCTCCACAGAGGCCGATCTTGACACCGCTGGTACCAGTCATCGGCAAGTCCACTCAGCTCCACGTCCTCCTGTACCACATCACTCCATCTCTTCTCTAGCCCGTGCCGCGCCCGCTTAGCCCCCTCAATCCGGCCAAACAAAAGCTGTTTCGGCATGCGGTGGCTGGGCATGCGGGCTACATGACCCAGCCATCGCAGCCTTGCCTGCCGGAGGAGCTCACCGATGGGACCCTGCCCAGATCTTTCAAGGATTTGTGAGCTCCTCACACAATCCAGTCTGGTTAAACCCAGGATGGATCGTAGGCAGGCCAGCCTAAATGTTTCTAACCGGCGAAGATGTTCCATTAGGGGGGTCCACGTTTCGCAAGCGTAGAGAAGGGAGGGAATGACCGTGGCCGAGAAGACCTGAAGCTTAGTGCGGAGCGACAGACCAGGTAGCTTCCACACAGCGTTACGCAACCGATGAAAAGATATTGCCGCTCGACTGATTCGGAGTGAGACCTCTGCTGTTAAACTGGAGCCAGTCATAAGCACACTGCCCAGGTATGGGAAACTCTCCACTCTCTCCACAACTGCCCCATCACCGATTGGGAGTTGTGGGGGTGGAGTGTCCGATGGTACAAAATACCCAGGCAGGTGCTTAGTTTTGGTGGGGCTGATGGTAAGGCCCCACCTCTTAGTGGCACGCTCCAGTCTCAGCAGCAGCGTCTCCAACTCCTCCTCTGACTGAGCAGCTATTACCAAGTCATCAGCATACATAACGTGGTTGAGCAATAGGGAGTCATCCCTTGACCGCACCCGGGCATCGATTAGCCTCCCATTATATCTGTACCCTATGGAGATTCCCCCGGTACAGCTATTGAAGGCTTCACGAACTACGTGGTCAAAATAGATGTTAAATAATGTGGGAGCCAGAGGACATCCCTGTCGCACCCCAAGGTGTACAGGGAATGGCTCTGACTCCCGGCCACGTAGTTTTACCCGGGCCCGCTCACCATCATGAAGGTCCTTAATGATCGTGAGCAGAGGGTCAGGTACTCCAAAAGCACGAAGAACGACCCAGAGCCCAGGCCTACTGATGGTATCATAGGCCTTGACCAGGTCAATAAAGCAGAGATGTAGGTCTTGTTGGAATTCCCTACACCTCTGCTGTAGCAGACGGACAGAAAATATGGCATCTGTGCAGGACCGCCCTTTCCTGAAACCGCATTGGGGCTCCGCAAGCCTCTCCTCAGCGTGCCTGGCAAGGCGATGCTGAATAATCCTTGCCAGGACCTTTCCCGGCACACTGAGGAGTGAGATGCCCCTGTAGTTGTTACAGTCTGTGCGGTCCCCCTTCTTAAAAAGGGGGACCACCAGGGCATCCTTCCAATCCTGCGGAACCCGTCCAGTGGTCCAGACTGTTGTTATGATGTCATATAGGGCAGTCTGTGCACAAACGCCACCCTCCCTCAGCATTTCGCTTGGGAGATCATCTCTGCCCGCTGCCTTTCCTGGTCTCAGACTCCGGATCGCCTTCAATACTTCCTCAGCAGATGGCACCTCAGCCAGCCACTCACAGGGGGTGACTTCATCCAATATTTGAGGCACCGCAGCCTCAGCAGGGTCATCCTCACTTTGTGCCACGATGTTTTCCTGGCTGAGGGATTTTCCCTCCCCCAGGACCTCACAGAAATGCTCAGCAAATCTGCGAACCTGTTCCTGGGGGTCGGAAATTGGATCACCGTTTTTTCCCCTAATGATGGTAATAGGTGTGGCGCTGCAGGTTACTTTTTTGATGGAGTTAAATAGAGATTTGTGATCACGGGCCACTGAGGCAGACTCCATCTCCTCAGCAACCCGCGACCACCACCCATCCTTGCAGCGCCTCACGGCTCTCCGAACCTCCGAGCGAAGGCTGCGGTAAGCCTCCTCATTCTCTGACGTGGGATTCTGTAGCCGATGACAGTGGGCCTGTCGCTTTTTCTCAACCATCGTGAACAACTCCTCTGTCATCCAGGGTGTCTGGGGAGGTCTGGACCGCGTACCCAAAGCAGCCATTGCAGCTGCATGAGTCACAGTCCTAAACCTCGCCCATTTACCCTCGACATCAGGAGGAGTCGGGGACGATGCCAATCCCAGCCGCAAGCGATGATGAAATTCTCGCTTGCAACTTTCATCGGATAACTGAGACCAGGCCATTTTAGGTTGGAATGGGGTCCTCGGTGTACACCCACCACCGGAGTGGAAGAATGGCAGGCGCATCTTACAGATGACTAGTCGATGGTCAGAGGGCAGATCAGCTCCACGGTAGGTCCTGGTGTCAAGGACATGGGCTCGCATTCGCTGGTCCGTCACTATGTAGTCCAGCAGATGTTCTTGCTTGGACCCGGCATGCATCCATGATGTTGTGTGGATGCGCCGATGCCGGAACAGCGTGTTGGTAATTACAAGCCCATGGGCTGCACAAAAATCTAGCAGCCTCCTACCGTTGTTATTGAGCTGATCTGGCCCATGCCCTCCAATCACTCCAGACCAGGTGCCAGTATCATGACCAACTCGGGCATTGAAGTCACCCAACATGATGACTCTATCCCGAGGGGCCACTTTAGCCAGCACCTGTGACAGGAGGTCATAGAAGGCATCTGACTCATCGGCTTTGCCTGCATCCCTCCACGGATGTTCATCTTCGGTGGGGGCATAAGTAACCACGACCACCATTCCTCGCCTCCGGTTGATGGGAAGGCGAGCCCAAAGTAGCCTGGGGCTTACAGCTTCCCACACCTCACCGCCACGCTCCCACGCCCCCTTCATTCTTTTGTTCAAAAGAAGACCCACACCCTGTTGTTTGGCAGTCTGCTGCCCCGAGTAGAGGACTGTCCACCCCTCATGGTGGCAGGAGCCAGAGCCGGTCCACCGGACCTCCTGAATGCCGCATAGATCCAGGCGGTACCGGTCCAGCTCCCGACAGAGGAGTGGCAGCCTCTCCTCCGCAGTGAGCGTTCGAACATTCCACGTGGCCAACCGTAGTGGCTTTTCGTTGTTTCTGGAGTAGCCCCGAGGGTAGGTATTCAATCTCCTGGCTCCGCCAATTGGGGTTTGGCCAGGAGACGTCATAGACGCCTGGCCCCCCGGGGCCTCCGGCACAAGCTTAGTTGTTACATATTTCAGTTTAATTCGTAGTTTCGTGGTAATTAATTGAAGGTGGAGGGGTTACCAGCCCCTCGCACCCGTCCAGAGCCCCCGTTTAGCCCCTGTGGTGGACACATATGCCATGAGGGGAGGAGCCAATCAAAATTGGATCTCCCCCCACAGCGCTGTCCACGACAGAGTTGCCCGTCCGGCACTCACCACCCACACTCACCACCCACACTCACCACCCCACACACACCACCCACACTCACCACTCACCACCCACACTCACCACCCACCCACACTCACCACCCACACTCACCACCCACCCTCACTCACCCCACACTCACCCCTGACTCACTCACCACCCTCACTCACCACCCACACTCACCACCCACACTCACCACCCTCACTCACCCCTCACTCACCCCTCACTCACCACCCTCACTCACCACCCTCACTCACCCCACACTCACCCCTGACTCACTCACCACCCTCACTCACCACCCACTCACCACCCACACTCACCACCCACACTCACCACCCTCACTCACCACCCACACTCACCACCCTCACTCACCCCACACTCACCCCTGACTCACTCACCACCCTCACTCACCACCCACTCACCACCCACACTCACCTCCCACACTCACCCCACACTCACCACCCTCACTCACCAACCACACTCACCCCTCACTCACCCCTCACTCACCACCCACCACTCACCCACCACTCACCACCCACCACTCACCCCTCACACACCACCCCTCACTCACCCACCACTCACCACCCACACTCACCACCCTCACTCAGCACTCACCACACACTCACCCCACACTCACCACCACCCACACACACTCACCCACCACTCACTCACCACCCTCACTCACCACCCTCACTCACCACTCACCACACACTCACCCCACACTCACCACCCTCACTCACCACTCACCACACACTCACCCCACCCTCACTCACCACCCACACTCACCCCTGACTCACTCACCACCCTCACTCACCACCCTCACTCACCACCCCTCACTCACCACCCCTCACTCACCCACCACCCTCACTCACCACCACCCACCCACACTCACCACCCACTCACCACCCACACTCACCCCTTACTCACCACCCTCACTCACCCCACACTCACCACCCACATTCACCCACCCCCACTCACCCCACACTCACCACCCACCCACCACTCACCACCCACACTCACCCACACTCACCCCTCACTCACCACCCCACACACACTCACCCCTCACTCACCACTCACTCACCCCACTCACCCCCCTCACTCACCCACCACTCACCACCCACACTCACCACCCTCACTCACCACCCACTCACCACCCTCACTCACCCCTCACTCACCCCTCACTCACCCCTCACTCACCACCCCCTCACCACCACCCTCACCACCACCCACACTCACCACCACCCACCACTCACCCCTCACTCACCCCCCTCACTCACCCACCACTCACCCCCCTCACTCACTCACCACCCACACTCACCACTCACCACCCTCACTCACCACCCACTCACCACCCTCACTCACCACCCACACTCACCACCCACACTCACCCCTCACTCACCACCCCCCACTAACCCCACCACTCACCCCTCACTCACCACCCACACTCACCACCTACTCACTCACCACCCCACACACACTCACCCCTCACTCACCACTCACCACCCACACTCACCACCCACTCACCACCACCCTCACCACCACCACACTCACTCACCACCCACACTCACCACCCTCACTCACCACCCACTCACCACCCACACTCACCACCACCCCACCACACACTCACCACCCTCACTCACCACCCACTCACCACCCACACTCACCACCCTCACTCACCACCACCCCACCACACACTCACCACCCTCACTCACCACCCACTCACCACCCTCACTCACCACCCACACTCACCACCCACACTCACCCCTCACTCACCACCCCCCACTAACCCCACCACTCACCCCTCACTCACCACCCCACACACACTCACCCACCACTCACCACCCTCACTCACCACCCCCTCACCACCCACACTCACCACTCACCACCCACACTCACCACCCACTCACCACCCACTCACCCACCACTCACCACCCCCTCACCACCCCCTCACCACTCACCACCCACACTCACCACACACACTCACCACTAACTCACCCACCACTCACCACCCACACTCACCACCCACTACCCACCCACCACCCACCACTCACCACCCACCACCCACCTGCTCCATATAGACCATCAGAGCTTCACGTGAATTCTCCCATTCGTGAGGTAGCTCAGTCTCGTGTGGGAACTTATCACAGCCCAGCTCCATGGTTACCTCCAGGCAGTTCGTGTGCAGGTAGCTGAAGTCTGCCATGCCTGGCTCACACACAGAGGGCACGTGTTGTCTGTAGGAGGGCACGTGTTGTCTGTAGGGGGCACGGGTTGTTTGTAGGGGGCACGTGTTGCCTGTAGTAGTGAGTTGGGTAGACAGGTAGCTGAAGTCTGCCATGCTTGGGTCACACACAGAGGGCACGGGTTGTCTGTAGGAGGCACGTGTTGTCTGTAAGGGGGCACGTGTTGCCTGTAGTAGTGAGTTGGGTAGACAGGTAGCTGAAGTCTGCCATGCCTGGCTCACACACAGAGGGCACGGGTTGTCTGTAGGAGGGCACGGGTTGTCTGTAGGGGGCACGTGCTGTGAGTAGTAGTGAGTAGGGTAGACAGGTAGCTGAAGTCTGCCATGCCTGGCTCACACACAGGGGGCACGTGTTGTCTGTAGGAGGGCACGGGTTGTCTGTAGGAGGGCATGTGTTGTCTGTAGGGGGCACGGGTTGTCTGTAGGAGGGCACGGGTTGTCTGTAGGAGGGCACGGGTTGTCTGTAGGAGGGCACGTGTTGTCTGTAGGAGGGCACGGGTTGTCTGTAGGGGGCACGTGTTGTCTGTAGGAGGGCACGTGTTGTCTGTAAGAGGGCACGGGTTGCCTGTAGGAGAGCACGTGTTGTCTGTAGGAGGCACGTGTTGTCTGTAGGGGGCACGGGTTGTCTGTAGGGGGCACGTGTTGTGAGTAGTAGTGAGTTGGGTAGACAGGTAGCTGAAGTCTGCCATGCCTGTGTCACACACGGAGGGCACGTGTTGTCTGTAGGAGGCACGTGTTGTCTGTAAGAGGGCACGGGTTGTCTGTAGGAGGGCACGGGTTGTCTGTAGGGGGCACATGTTGTCTGTAGTAGTGAGTAGGGTAGATAGGTAGCTGAAGTCTGCCATGCCTGGCTCACACACAGAGGGCACGGGTTGTCTGTAGGGGGCACGTGTTGTCTGTAAGGGGCACGGGTTGTCTGTAGGGGGCACGTGTTGTCTGTAGTAGTGAGTTGGGTAGACAGGTAGCTGAAGTCGGCCATGCCTGGCTCACACACAGAGGGCACGGGTTGTCTGTAGGAGGGCACGTGTTGTCTGTAGGGGGCACGTGTTGTCTGTAGGAGGGCACGTGTTGCCTGTAGGAGGGCACGTGTTGTCTGTAGGAGGGCACGTGTTGTCTGTGGGAGGCACGGGTTGTCTGTAGGGGGCACGGGTTGTCTGTAGGAGGGCACGGGTTGTTTGTAGGGGGCACGTGTTGTCTGTAGGAGGGCACGTGTTGTCTGCAGGGGGCACGTGTTGTCTGTAGGGGGCACGTGTTGTCTGTAGGGGGCACGTGTTGTCTGTAGGGGGCACGTGTTGTCTGTAGGGGGCACGGGTTGTCTGTAGGGGGCACGTGTTGTCTGTAGGGGGCACGGGTTGTTTGTAGGGGGCACGTGTTGCCTGTAGTAGTGAGTAGGGTAGATAGGTAGCTGAAGTCTGCCATGCCTGGGTCACACACGGAGGGCACGGGTTGTCTGTAGGAGGGCACGTGTTGTCTGCAGGGGGCACGTGTTGTCTGTAGGGGGCACGTGTTGTCTGTAGGGGGCACGTGTTGTCTGTAGGGGGCACGTGTTGTCTGTAGGGGGCACGGGTTGTCTGTAGGGGGCACGTGTTGTCTGTAGGGGGCACGGGTTGTTTGTAGGGGGCACGTGTTGCCTGTAGTAGTGAGTAGGGTAGATAGGTAGCTGAAGTCTGCCATGCCTGGGTCACACACGGAGGGCACGGGTTGTCTGTAGGAGGCACGTGTTGTCTGTAGGAGGGCACGTGTTGTCTGTAGGAGGGCACGGGTTGTCTGTAGGAGGGCACGGGTTGTCTGTAGGGGGCACGTGTTGTCTGTAAGAGGCACGTGTTGTCTGTAGGGGGCACGTGTTGTCTGTAGGGGGCACGTGTTGTCTGTAAGAGGCACGTGTTGTCTGTAGGGGGCACGTGTTGTCTGTAGGGGGCACGTGTTGTCTGTAGGGGGCACGGGTTGCCTTAGAAGGGCACGTGTTGTCTGTAGAAGGGCACGTGTTGTCTGTAGGGGCACGTGTTGTCTGTAGGGGGCACGTGTTGTCTGTAGGGGGGCACGTGTTGTCTGTAGGGGGCACGTGTTGTCTGTAGGGGGGCACGTGTTGTCTGTAGGGGGGCACGTGTTGTCTTTAGGGGGGCACGTGTTGTCTTTAGGGGGGCACGTGTTGTCTGTAGGGGGCACGGGTTGTCTGTAGTAGTGAGTTGGGTAGTGAGTGTATGAGTGAGTGACTGAGTGAGTGACAGAGTGACTGAGTGACTGACTGAGTGAGTGACTGAGTGTATGACTGAGTGAGTGACTGAGTGAGTGAGTGATTGTATCAGTGAGTGAGTGTATGAGTAACTGAGTGACTGAGTGAGTGACAGAGTGACTGAGTGAGTGACTTAGTGAGTGACTGAGTGAGTGACTGAGTGACTGAGTGAGTGACTTAGTGAGTGACTGAGTGTGTGACTTAGTGAGTGAGTGAGTGACTGAGTGAGTAACTGAGTGACTGAGTGAGTGAGTGACTGAGTGACTGACTGAGTGACTGAGTGAGTGACTGAGTGACTGAGTGAGTGAGTGAGTGACTGAGTGAGTGACTGAGTGAGTGTCTTAGTGAGTGACAGAGTGACTGACTTACTGACTGAGTGAGTGACTGAGTGAGTGACTGAGTGACTGAGTGAGTGAGTGAGTGTATGAGTGAGTGACTGAGTGTATGACTGAGTGAGTGACTGAGTGAGTGAGTGACTGAGTGAGTGAGTGACTGAGTGACTGAGTGAGTGACTTAGTGAGTGACTGAGTGAGTGACTGAGTGACTGAGTGAGTGACTGAGTGACTGAGTGAGTGACTGAGTGAGTGAGTGACTGAGTGAGTGACTGAGTGAGTAACTGAGTGTATGAGTGAGTGACTGAATGAGTGAGTGTGTGAGTGACTGAGTGTATGACTGAGTGACTGAGTGAGTGTATGAGTGAGTGACTGAGTGAGTGACAGAGTGACTGACTTACTGACTGAGTGAGTGACTGAGTGAGTGACTGAGTGACTGAGTGAGTGAGTGAGTGTATGAGTGAGTGACTGAGTGTATGACTGAGTGAGTGACTGAGTGAGTGAGTGACTGAGTGAGTGAGTGACTGAGTGACTGAGTGAGTGACTTAGTGAGTGACTGAGTGAGTGAGTGACTTAGTGAGTGACTGACTGACTGAGTGAGTGACTGAGTGAGTGACTGAGTGAGTGACAGAGTGAGTGTATCAGTGACTGAGTGAGTGAGTGTATGAGTAACTGAGTGACTGAGTAAGTGACTGAGTGAGTGTATGACTGAGTGACTGAGTGAGTGACTGAGTGACTGAGTGAGTGACTGAGTGACTGAGTGAGTGACTGAGTGAGTGAGTGAGTGACTGAGTGAGTGACTGAGTGAGTAACTGAGTGTATGAGTGAGTGACTGAATGAGTGAGTGTGTGAGTGACTGAGTGTATGACTGAGTGACTGAGTGAGTGTATGAGTGAGTGACTGAGTGAGTGACTGAGTGACTGACTGACTGACTGAGTGACTGAGTGAGTGACTTAGTGAGTGACTGACTGAGTGGCTGAGTGAGTGACTGAGTGAGTGACTGACTGAGTGAGTGACTGACTGACTGACTGAGAGACTGAGTGAGTGACTGACTGAGTGACTTAGTGAGTGACTGAGTGACTGAGTGAGTGAGTGTATGAGTGAGTGAGTGTATGAGTAACTGAGTGACTGACTGACTGAGTGACTTAGTGAGTGACTGAGTGAGTGACTGACTGACTGAGTGACTGAGTGAGTGACTGAGTGAGTGACTTAGTGAGTGACTGAGTGAGTGACTGACTGACTGAGTGACTGAGTGAGTGACTTAGTGAGTGACTGACTGAGTGACTGAGTGAGTGACTGAGTGAGTGACTGACTGAGTGAGTGACTGACTGACTGAGTGACTGAGTGAGTGACTGACTGAGTGACTGACTGACTGAGTGACTGAGTGAGTGACTTAGTGAGTGACTGACTGAGTGACTGAGTGAGTGACTTAGTGAGTGACTGACTGAGTGACTGAGTGAGTGACTGAGTGAGTGACTGACTGAGTGAGTGACTGACTGAGTGACTGAGTGAGTGACTGACTGAGTGACTTAGTGAGTGACTGAGTGACTGAGTGAGTGACTGACTGACTGAGTGAGTGTATGAGTGAGTGACTGAGTGAGTGACTTAGTGAGTGACTGAGTGAGTGACTTAGTGAGTGACTGAGTGAGTGACTTAGTGAGTGACTTAGTGAGTGACTGAGTGAGTGAGTGAGTGACTGAGTGACTTAGTGAGTGACTGACTGAGTGAGTGACTGAGTGAGTGACTTAGTGACAGAGTGAGTGAGTGACTGAGTGACTTATTGAGTGAGTGACTGAGTGAGTGACTTACTGAGTGAGTGACTGAGTGAGTGAGTGAGTGACTGAGTGAGTGACTGAGTGAGTGACTGAGTGACTTAGTGAGTGACTCACTGCCAGCCACGGTGTGCCAGGCTGCTCTGTTCACGACGCTTCCCTCCTTGGTGAAGTCGTCTGAGTGAGTGACTGAGTGAGTGACTGAGTGAGTGACTGACTGAGTGACTGAGTGACTGAGTGAGTGACTGAGTGAGTGACTGAGTGAGTGACTGACTGAGTGAGTGACTGAGTGAGTGACTATGTGACTGAGTGTATGACTGAGTGAGTGACTGAGTGAGTGACTGAGTGAGTGACTGAGTGACTAAGTGAGTGACTAAGTGAGTGACTGAGTGAGTGACTGAGTGAGTGACTGAGTGACTGAGTGAGTGACTGACTTACTGACTGAGTGAGTGACTGACTGAGTGAGTGAGTGAGTGACTGAGTGAGTGACTGAGTGAGTGACTGAGTGAGTGACTTAGTGAGTGACTCACTGCCGGCCACGGTGTGCCAGGCTGCTCCGTTCACGACGCTTCCCTCCTTGGTGAAGTCGTCTGAGTGAGTGACTGAGTGAGTGACTGAGTGAGTGA